AGTTGACCGCGGTATTCAATCGCTGCATTGAGATCGAAGATATGTCGCGAACATGGAAAATCAAGGATTACCGCATAGATGCCAGGTAAAATATACCATTATATGATGAATTCATTTTTTTCAAAAATCGTTAATAACTGCAGTTTGAGGATACCGCGGTTTCGGGCGGTGTGGAAAAACCTAATAAACGGTCTGACTTTCGCGGTTCTTAATAACCGCTGAGAGTCGCAAATGGTAAACCGCCAATAACCGTGGTTTTGGTTGAAAAATTTTTCCGTGGGCGCTCCATGGAGCGGAGCTAGCTCCAATGAGCGGCCGCTCCGGAGTCGGAGCTGCCCATCTCTGTCTGGGACAGATTTCTGTGATACGTAAAGATACTCGATTAGTGGATAAAGTGGTCCAAACATTTTCAAAATATGCTTCACGTTTATGCTCCGAAGATTGAAATTTAAAAGAATTATTGGATGGAGGAATAAATTTTTAAACCATCATAAAAATTAGAATTGAAAGTTTAAAATTAAAGTTAAAATTGTTGCAATTTAAATTGGGAAGAATTTTAAGAAAAGTTGATCAGGGTTGGGTTAGACTTTATGGAAAGTATTTCAAATTATTTCTTTTACTTTTTCTACAAATAGACGTAGGGTTTCGTCTACAAATTGTGTTAAAGAAATAAATGTTGTCGATTATCTCTGGAATACAGAAGATTGGATTTCAGGAATCATGTATGATTTGTTGAAAAATTATGATTTTTGTCAACACATGTGTAACGCCAATACCAGATTTTCTTATTTTTCTTATGTGTGACTGGTTAAGTCGTATTTTTCCAAATAACGATAACTAATTTGCATCATTACGAATTATTGAATAAAAAACATTATTTCCATATAATTTTAATTTTTGATAGTAGAAAAAATTTAATTCAATTTAATTCAATTCCGTTGAGTTTTTGTCATTTAAACTTTAGTTATTTTAATTTTAAAAAGCTTGTGGATTCAAATCTCTATTGTTAGAAAAAGTATTTGTCAAGAAAGAGCCATTATTCTCTGAAGAAAAACATTTGTCAGAGTGATTAATTAAATAACATTCTACACTAAATATCTTAATTCAATTAATGTATCCTCTCCTATATATGCGACGAATTGAACGATCACCTTTGGTAACACATTTTCCACATTGAAATATTTTTTTCGAGAAAATGCAAAGCCACAATGCTATACGTACATTTTTAGTCATTTTGCAATGATTAAAAGTAAGATTTGAGAAAAATATCGATTATAATGCCGCATTTCTTCACTCGAATCATAAAGTCAACTATAGCTTTGGGTTTATCGTGAAACAGCCATCAGAACCTTTGGAAAATAATAGTTTGTCTCCAATCGAGAGATTCTTTATGTAATATGCTAAAGACGAAAATTGGAATTAGTTAGAATATTCTCCTTACTAGAGGGATACTGTGGAATTTGCTTTATAAAATGCAATAGTCAGTCCTTGTTCAAGTGTGACTTCTGAATGAAAGTCCCTGAAAAGTTTATTTTTCCGCAATGGCTCACTCCGTTTTCGTGAATATCTATATATCTATATACGTGTATATATATAGATATTGGATATCGTTGATCAATTCTTTTCATATTTGTATATTATCCACAACTATTGGAACTTATAGCTTCTGCCACTTTGGCTGTTAGACTATTCAATTATTTTGTGTAATTTTCTGTTTTCAGAAAGATACAGATGCATCAACACCACGATGTATTTTCTGGTCTGCATGGTTATTTATCAAAATTAGCGCACTGTTCTCGAAAAGGAAAAAGTAACGCTACATTAATATAAGAGCTTGGCTTGAGTATAGGGTTCGTTGAAGAAAATTTGTATTAGAGTTTACACGAGATATAATACTCGTGTATGATTGTTATGAGATAATAAACGATACTACGTTAAAGAGAGCGCAGTAAAATAAACATGCAGAATAGCAACAATATAGATTTATCTTCTAATTAAAAATATTTCAGAAGCAAATCAGTTTTGTTTTCGTGTAAGTATTCATGTTTATTTTTATCCAATCAGAGTCAATCTCGTGAGCTTTTAGTAAGGCTCATCAGAGAAATCTAAACTATTGCTACGCATTGCAGCGTCACAAGTGGAATATCTATTGACTGGATATGAAGAAAAATTCATACCCATATGTTTGTAAGCATTATTTCCAAAGAAATCGAGAGTTATGGTAACGATTGACTAGCGCATCTTGCGAAGGTCTGCTCTATTGAACTAATAAAAGAAATATTCTAGCTTATGTTAATGGTTCTATCAGCTTTTTTCTATAACTCTCGTCTCTAGAACACAACATGGAGAACCCATGAACCATAAAAAATAAGGCTTCATTTCCCTTAGAATGTGATGCAGTTTTTCACAAGAACTCTGAATCTATAGTTGGTTGAATAATTTAAGGTACTCTAAAAATTTTATTTAGCTTATGTATTATCATCGGATTAAGCCGGTAGGATCCCATGGGAACATCCGAATAACAGTATTTTTCATCTAAACAAACATTTACATTTGTATGCTAATATTTAACCTACCAAAATATATAATAGAAGAAAAATGTTCGACTTGATTTGAATGATTTTCATATCTCATTGAGTACTGAAATCAAATAAATTTCAATGATTCATTTCCTTGTAATCATTCATTGAATACAGACAGTAATTAAACTTCATTCTTGAAGTGAAAAAAAATTGAACGTGATTAGAAAGATTGAAAATACGATGGAAAATAAAGAACGAGCAGTTTTCCTTCATACAAAAAGGGTATCGAAGTGAATGTTTGTAAGCTTCTTTTATTTACTTTTATTTTAAATAAAACAATCAAATAGAGTATTTTTTTTCTTTCGCTTGCTCTTGATTCAATAACTAATGCTTCACTGGTAGCTCACATTTTTTTTAGTATTCTGTTACTTGCTCCTCGAATGACGAACATGTAAATCAGAATCAAAAAATTATTTTACTAAAACTCGTTGAAACAGCTAATTTTTTACTAAGACATACGTAACTGTTGTTATCTTTTGCTATTCTGACAAAAGCTATGAAAAAAACATGCCAAGAAACATTTAATTCTTGTACTGTTCACTTTTCTACGAAGTTGAGTCAATAAATTTTGATTTTTTCATTTCATATGCCTTATCAACAGGAACACGAATAAGAAGAAAAAAAAACACTGTAACAAAATACAATAAAATACGCAATGGTCGATCGCATCGAAACAAGGTAAATATTATATAGATATGTTTAGAATTCAATTATTTTCAAAAAATGTCCTGTTCAATTTTTATAGATCATATGCAAACAAGATTGATCTTCGCCTTCAAACATTAATTACATCTCCGTATGCACAACAACAATTGCAACTTGCTGGTTTGGTATATAAAATAACCTGATAAAATTTTTAGTTCATTTTTTTCTTGCAGAACTTCAAAAATTATCTTCATACATTTCTTTTCCAAATATCTATCAAATGTTTTTGCTTCAATATTTAGATAAATCATCGTGGACAAATAGTTGCATCCAATGCCTATATTCGTAGTCTAGCACAACGAAAATGTCAACAACAAGATCATGAAGCAATAGCGAAAGATATTCTTCTACAGTTTGTTATTTTAATGATTCATTTCTAGTGCTTATTAATATAGATTTTAGAACATTAAAAATTGATCAAAATAATCGACGAGGTCGTCGCCATCAGTTTGAAATTGCTACACGACGTGCTGTAAATAGTAATTTTGACGTGAGCTCAATGAAATCTGCAATATCATGAAGATCGTGCTTTTCTTTTCGTTCATAAAGGCTATTAATAAACACTATCGAAAGCAATCATATGGACGTAAAAAATCCCGTGAAAAAAGTGCTCCTGGCTATCTTTCGGTGAGAATCAAATATGATTCATTATCACACTCTAATAGACTTATTTCAGAAAGCAGAAAATGAGGTTAAACAACGTACACGAGTGACTTCTGCTCACAAAAGAATATTAAAAACAGAGAACGATACAGAAGAATCTTCTGATCAACAAAATCGTATTGAATCAGTAAGTCGCTGATATTATTCGATTTTTATTCAAGGCCGCTTTTCTTCAGTTGGATAAATCATATGTACTTTCTTTGGAACGTCAAACGTGCAATTTAAATATGTCTTATGGATTAAAGACGACTAACAAAACTAAACAAATTAACCGTGATGAAATTGTTGTCATGCAACAGCACAGCACTGGCGAAAATGTAGTTGTTTTCAGAGGACTTTTAAACGAAGGCGGTAACTATATCAATTACACCAATTATTAGACATTGTTTCGTTTTGTCTATAGAATCCTTTTCATTTAAATCACAACGTCGACCAACATCTCCACTTTCATTGGCTTTCTATGCTAAAGGATTTATTGACAGTTTGGTGAATGATTGTTGTGAATTTAAATATGGTAGAAGAAATCAACACATCAATGAACATAGTAAATTTTTTGTTGAACGAGTTCGAAAAGCTAGTCCCTGTGAGAAGTAAGTTGAATACTTGTTAGAAAAGACAAAATTACCTTATAAAAACATGATAAATTTTACTAGTTGTCGAAGAAAATATATTCAAAGAGAAATAACACCAACTGCTGATGGTGCACCATCGACTACTGTAAGTATAATCTCTATTATGCGAAATTCAAAGAACTAATCAAATAAACACATAAATATACGATTCAAGTTAAGTGACCTATTTCGGTAATCGTTTATATTTACAATTTATCTACAATAATTTTCAAAAAAAGAATATTTGTCTACAATAAGGCTTTTTCATTGTACACATCAACTTTTTTTCCATTTAATTTAAGATACCAAAGGAGCATTCTCCAATTGTACTTCAATCTTTGTTAATATCAACATCTGAGCCCATAAGTAAAATCAACACATTCATCCAGATAGAAGAAAAAACGATCTATTCTCATATTTTTCTAGTCGAAAATCCAAAACTTGATTTAGCTGAAAAATCAAATTTAAACTTTAAAGAACATAATGGGAATAAAAAAGTGAACTATCACGTTTTTCTTGAATGTTAACGATCTATCGTGTTTTTTTTATAGGCAACAAAATATAGAAAACACCGTGATACTATTAACAGTACTAATGAGAATGGTAAGCACTCATTTAAACGCCTCAATTTTATAAATATTTGATCTTTTGTTACAGATGACAAGGATAAAAAGGTTAAGCAACATCAGTAAATGTAATTTTTTATTTTTCTGATTAAAATAGGCAACAGATGAACAAACGAATAAGCAACAATTTTCCAAAGTTTCTTCTCACCAACAAATAACTAGAGGTAAAAATCGTTCGCATGAAAAATGCTTGCTCTAAACATATTTTTACAGAAAAAGCAGCATCAGTGGACTTTGGTCTTCTAGCGTATACACTTCTTCAAGAAAGAAAGTCACCATTACCAAAACCAAGAATGGCAAAAAAACCCAGCAATATATCGATTATCAAAGGAAATTCAACCAGAAAAAAGACGCAACTTATACCCAGTAAGTATTTTTTGGGAAACAAATTGGCTTATCAATAAAAATATTTATCTATATAGAAGAGAACACATCAGCTACGCCATCACAAGGAAAAGAAATTATGCAAGCATGGGTTAACGAAACAGACTATATTCATTGGGATCCACACAATTCACCTCTTAGTGCGAGTACAATCGATGCGGACACTCTTTCTCAAACGTCTGTAACGCATGTACAACAACGTATGTTTCCTAGCTAAGACGATAATAATTATTTTGAGTGTAATTTTTATTGGAAAAAATAATATATTAAAAGAGCACTTTAACTGTATTCGTTCTGTATATTCACGAAGAAAAATATGTTTGCGACTTACGCTAGTGTCCAGAATCGACTTGAAAACGAAGTAATGTTACACTTCTTATATTACTATACATACATATACTATTAATGAAAGGCAATAAAAGTGATTTGATAAATTCGAACATCATTTTCGATCCTGTGAAATAGTTCAATGGCATATTGAAAGCACTGCCGTATAAATCTTCCACAGAGCAGAACCCGACATACTTTTAAAATTTTCTTTTTTCAACCGACATGTTCATTGCCAATTGGAATCGAAATTCTCGAAAATACCCATAGCTGCTTATCGCACATGTCAAACGAGAATTTGAATGTAGAAATACTAATTTTACAACCCATGCCCAATGATACCGTATAAAATAAGACTTATTGAATATATACATGAAATTGCACTTGAATCTTTTCCATTACCGATGTCATGCTAGATATAGAAGAAAATTTGCTCTCAAAAAAAGTTGTGAACAACGAAACCATACATTCCATTATGGATGAAATATTTCATGATCTTGATAGTTTTTATGCTGAGCAAGAAGAAAAAAAAATTGTACACTCGAGCAATTTCAAAAAGCTCTTGAAGTCTATCCAGGGACGTCCATGAAACAAAATTAAAAGTAACATCACTAATAAATGTACTATTTCATAACTGATTCCTATTCTTTTTTTTAGAGTACAGCAACACAATAAGTGACTGAAGATACACGAAAACTCAAATGTTATCAATAGTTAAGTTCCATTCATAACAATAAAGATTATATTCATTATTGAAAAACAGAGTTAACAAAATTCATGATGCCTAATTTTATGTAGGAAGCATCAATACACATTTCATATCGTTGTTCATATCGATGCTTAATAAAATATTTGTCAGAATTTTAGCTGTTTTTATTTCATGGAAAAATATTGATACTATGTGTTGTCTCGTTAAAATTTTCGCTGTAGCACTCAATCAGTTTATGTATGAAATACATTCATTTGTTGTATTATTAGTATAGATTAGAGCGCACCATTGATTCGAGATTTTCATTCAAAAACAAATAATAACAAAATTAAATATTATATTTATCAGTAGGATGATGTTTATATTAGAAAATAAGAAGACTTTTCAAAAAGACATACAACACAAAATGTATATACGGAAAAAGAGACGTATACAAATATATCAAAAGGCACTTTTCACATGTTGAGCTTCGATAATAACTTTAACTGGTCGAGCATTTGATAACTGTTTTCCCGCAGACTGACTTCTGTTTAAAGCAAAAGAAATATATTTATTTTTATGTCATTAATAAAAATTAATCATACGTACTCCAGTACACGTCTCGATGATAAAATCATTAATGGATTTGTTTGACTCATTATTTCATCATTAACTGAAATACCATCAAGATATTGTTTTAATAACATTTTTAATTGCATATTTTCTGATTGTAAAATACTTCGTTCCTTTTCTAAAGTTAATTTATCTAATGATACTTTACTAAATCGTTTCCAAAACATTTCAAGCGAATCAAATGTATACATATCCTTAGATAATAAAAAAACACACACACACAAAATAATCCATAAGTTGATGAAGAAAATAAAATCCTACTTTTGCTAGTTCTTCAAATGGCGGTTCATAAAATGCTGTTTCAACTTCAGCACGTTCTTCATCAGACAATGTTGATGAATAGAATGGTAGAATTTTTTCTTCTTCAGCTTCTAATTTTCGACACATTTCAGAGAATATTAAAATAATTTCAGCTGTTTTAACATGTTTTTCAAGTTTTTTTTCAACTGTATCGCATGCTGTAGCAAGTTTAATTAAACGTCGACGTAACTCATCTTGCATGTCCAATAATTGAGACTTTAATTGAAGTAAATACTGTTTCATGCTTTCTTTTTCCTAGGAAAAGAAAAAAAGAAGCGCTAATAAATTTAAAAAATTAAAACTTCTCTGGTATGTAGTCTACTATATTTATCTTCAAGAGTAGCTGCGTAGGAAATAATGTTCAAAAAGTCAAGCTTTCAGATTCATGATAAAGAGTAATTTCCTCAGTGTTACTAACAGAGAATTCCTGACAAATAAGAGTTAGATAAATTTCTCTTGAATGTTTCTCGCACTACTGTTTTAAAGAGTCATACTTCGATATCTTTATTTTAACTATGAATTTAAAATTCTCATTACTTGTTGCCTACAAAATTACATTTTTAATTAAATTTACCTGTGCAACTTTATTCATTCTTGCTTGATGATTGGCTTCGAGAGCTGCGATTTGAGATTTAACGCCATTAATTTTTTCCTAGAATATTTCAATCGTTAGTTTTTTGTAAGATCATATTTTCTGTTCAGTACTTACAGTTATCTTGTTAATATAAATTGTTGCATCACGAATTTCTTTAGAATTTTTTTCATCTTTCATTTTATATTCTTGATATTGTGCTTTACTTTCTCTGGTTCGTTCTTTATAATTATTTGTTATGCTTGTCATTTCATTTTGTAATGACGTTGAACGACTTTCAACATTCAATTGATATTGTTGTAGATCTTCTCGATACTTGAAAAGAAGAAAACAAAAATAGCCGATGATAGTCAGAGGAGCGTTATTTTGACTAAAATCTACAAACTTTATTACGTAGTTCTTCCATATTCTCTTCGAAATTTCGTTCAGCTAATTTTTCTGCATCAAAAAACGTTTTTTCCATATTATAGATAATATCCTGCAATTCAGTTTTTGAGATATCATGATCACGAATAATTCTCGCACGTTCTTCACGAAATTCATATTTTATCTGTTCAACATCTTTTTCATATTGTTCAAGTAGTTTTTCAATGGTTGATGTGTGCATTGCTATGTATGAAATTGAAGGGAAAAAAGCATTTCCATGAAATTTTCACTTACTAATCATTTTTTCAATAGCTTCAAAAAAACTTCGTAATGACATATTATATTGTTCTTCCGCTTCTTCAATATCTTTCGATGATGCTTTAATGACGGTATCTTTTCGATCAATAATACGTCCGAATGTTTGTGATAAAATTTCAATTTCTTTTTTTAATTCTTTTGATTTTGCTGCTCTCATTACCATCAGCCATTGCGTATTTAATTTAAATGTATTATTTTGCGTAAATTTTTCTTCACGTGTTAATTTTTCCTTTAAAAAATTTATGTTTGGAAAGAATTTATATTATTTGATTAGATAAACCTACTCGTAGAAAATTATCCATAACAGCTTCTTTGACTTTATTTTGCACCTCTTCTTCGAGGGCCTTTTGCGTAGCAAGAAGATCTTGTTCTGATGTTTCCATTTTGTTTTTCTTTTTTCCTTATCTATAAAATAAAATGGTTAAAATAATAAATATAAAGAATTGATTTATTTAGAAATAAAATAAAATAAAATAAAATAAAATTTTGCAAAGCTGTTCTTCTAATCTATTTAGCTCCGGGATTTATTTCCATACAAGCGATACAACGATTTTTAACTGCTGGATCTTGACGATAGTCGACAGTGAGTGTATATGGTTCAGGTTTTGGATCAACTGTATATGTACGATCTTTACAATGTAAACAAACTTTTGTTGTTGTTGGCCATGCTGGATCATCAGGTGCCAATGCACGCTGACAATTGCGGCAATAGCCAGAACGATATTCAGTTAAATAAGTATTAACTGATGTTTTCATTTGAGGAAAATCGAATTCCGGTTGATGACCCGGGAATGCATAAGCACGAGGAACTAAGAGGAAATTTTCATTTCAATAGTCAATTTATCTTCAATAAAAAGACTCACGTTCAAGGTTACGCACTTCAGGTCGTGGTGGATCCCCTCGAATAGTACCATAAGCACATTCATATGTTGTACCAAAATGATGATCATTCTTTAAACAAATCAATGTTAAAATGTACAAGAATGAATGAGATAACGAGAATCAACCTGAGAAGGAAGAGGTTTTTGTATTCGTTCGTTTTTTACATCAGCTCGTTCTTCTAGCCAATTATTAATTAATGTATGATTGCTGTAGGGACGACGAACGGATCGTGCTTGGATCATATTAAAATTAATGTTATAGAATCGACAAATATGTTAACAAATACAAGATGTCATACATAGAAAAATTTTGTTTTTCGTTACTTAGCAACGAACAAAACTTCAACGTTTTATCTAATGAGAAGATTTAGTATTTCTTTGCTTTGGAATATATCTGAAATAAAATCTGACGTTTCTTATAAATCTTTCAAATTCCATCATACGTTGCCTTTATACTAGCGCCCTCTCTTGGTCAGTAATTCATATATTTTAAAACCTTATTTTATTTCATCGCAAAAGAAAATTAGAACAAATTTAATAAATGTCTATAGAAGAGTCAATTAGATAAATAGGCTTAAAATTTCTTCAGATAAACGAAGATATTGATCATGAAAAATGCATATGGAACATATGACCAAACCAATCTTTCAGTTCCACTAATAGTGCTAACGGTTGGGCATGGTGGACCTGTTGCTGTGGACGTATTCGCTACAGTGCCATTCGCATCGAGAATACTAGTTATATTCACATATTCTGTGCAAGGAACTGTTTGATAAACGGTTCTTTCTCCTACAATAAATAAACTTGAGATTTGAAAGAAAACTGATTAATTGAAAGAAAAAGCATACGAGCAAGAAAACCAAGTTCGACCGCTAGCGCTGCAAGAAGCAACGTAAGAAGAAGTCCTATGAGTAAATAAGCCCAACAAGGACATAAACATGAACGACATAATGATGATGCGCATGGTGGACAACAGCATTGACATCGACTTATATTCGTCTATTGGTCAAGCAATAAAACAATTTGAGAAACGTTTTAATGAACAATTTTATCTTACACTGAGAAGTTTTGTATTTCGAACACGTTGTTTTATCGGTGGTGTGATTTGAGTTTCAGTGACATAATGAGTTTCACCAATTAAATTACCTGGTTGAAGACCGATTGAAGCCTAAGTTGAAAAATGCTTTTAGCACAAGACAATTCCCTAGTCATCTTACGGCTTGTCGTGTTGTATAAGTCGCGGGAGCAGCCATGATGATTCTTCTTGATTAATTCTTGAAATGATCAGAAATTCGACTTCATTCTTATTTAATGAAAAGTGAGCATAAAGTATTTATCTTGAAATAGAATCTTTTCGTTGAAATTTTATTTTTTTAGCAGCAAAGAGAGAGAGAGAGAGAGGGGGAGACCGATGAATTTCAAGAACAAATGGTTAAAAAAATGTATACTTGAACTTAATATCATTTTTTACCATGCTTTTGTTTTGTACGCAGCAAATTTTTATTATGAAATCAATTATTGGTATTGAATATTGATTTATCGATCTTCAATTATTAAAATGCTTTTCTCATGTTATTTCGTTATCTGACCTTAGAAATTAATAATATTCAATGATTCCCATTTGATTCAGAAAGTGTTCTGTTTTCTTTTTCAAACTTCAATTTCTATTATTTTTAATCAGGTTACTCATTCAATTTACCATGAACGGTTACCATGAACAAAAAGAACAACGAGATCATTTTTTACTTGACTTCTGTATTTAAACAGCAAACTGATATCTTTCTAACGGTTCTGTTCTATTTGAATGCGTAACGGTTACTTTGTTCGCCGTTAGTTCTTAATTGAAGTGTAACGGTCACGGATCTATATAAAAGGAATGTGTTCTGTTCAATTTTTTCTCATTATCTATAATCTAAAACAACAATGTTCCGTCATCAACAATCAGCCAAACCATGTCCAAATATTTGTTCGCCTGTACAAGTAAGTTAGCTGTTTCACTTCGAAGTTCTTGTATGGAAACGGATTTTAGAAAATACATTCAACGCCAATGCGTCTTTGGATTTCAAACATTCCATATTATTGGTCAACCATTGAACTTGAAAATATATTTTCAGTAGGTTTATTTTTGATGCTACATTAGTTTTGCTTTAATTGTAATTTTTTTCTCATAATGTATAGACATTTGGTCAAGTCTATGATGTTGAAATACCATTAAAAAATGGCCAATCAAGAGGCTACGGATTTGTAACATTTGAAAAGTATAAGCATTTGATGAACAATCAAAATAAAGAAAATATGATTTGATCTATATTTCAGACAAGCTGATGCAATACGAGCTATTCAAGCTATGGATGGACAAACAATTAATGGTCGTAGTATGCAAGTAAGTAGTTGAACGAAACAATACTTAACTATTCATTTACTTTCTCAAGGTATATCAAGCACATGTAAAACAAAAATCTTTATTGAAATCTTATTTTGTGATTCAATCACTCGATCGGCCGTTATTTGGTGGATGCTATTGCTGTAAATCGAACAAAATAAATCGTATGAATTATGGTCAAGCACATCAATGTCAATGATGAGACATATTGTTTGTAAATATTTATTAGTTGTTTTGCTTTTTTTCCTGTCGTTTGTTATTGGTTTATTGTACAGTGAACATAGTCTGTTTTGTTTTTCGATAGTTGTGAAGACGTAAGAAGATTTATCTTAAAGTTGCTATTGCATGTGAACTAGGATGAAAGTTTGTTTTTATTTATCTCGTTGTTATTGTTGCTATATGGAGAAAATACTATTGCTTGAAGAAAAATAAACAAGATGATTAAGAAGAAGAAGATATTGTAATTCTAGTTTTTGATGAATAAATATTCTTTCGAACACGCATCTGTATGGATATTTAAATCTATCAGTGAGAAATGACTGTATGAAACCGAGTTTTATTCTTTTCTAGTTTTTAATATGATCGAATAATACTTTTTTAGTATTTACTTCAAACTTGATATTCGAGTAAATGTCCTTGAGGATTATTAATGTTGTGATTTTACCAGTCAGTTTTATATAAAATACATAAATGAGTTGTTTAGTGTCGATTTATCTTGTAAACGAGAAAATACAATTCAAATATTACAATGGTTAATAATAATCGAACCATATCCAATTTTGTTAAATTGATTCTTGTCGACTTTGGAAACAAATTGAATAGTTCCATTCATAATTTTAGATTCCTATTACACAGAGAATGTAGAATTGATGATTAACATTTGAATAAATATGCAACATATCATGTGAACATCTGTCTCATTCAATTTTTCACGATCACAAAGTGTATTTCAATGATTTCTTATCGATGAATAACTCCATTATTCTTTTTATATATTTAATGCCCAACGAGTATAGGATTTTTACAGTGAACTATACGCATAAATTGTTAAATAGCGCAATGAACTCACTGAAAAAAAGACTTTTGAAATTTAGAAATTGATTAAGACATGAATATAATAAAATAAAATTTAATCTACTGGATAAGTACGCCGATATTTTTATCCATAGAACAATTGTATTTAAACCAGAGTAATCATGAGATTTTAGAATTCTTAAGTTCTTATTTTTCTTATCATCTCTGCAGGAAAAAAGTGGATAATATTTACTATACAAGTTTTGTCAGATAATATTCGATAATATCTTATTTTATTTTATAGGATAAATATTGTATTTTTGTAATGACAGAATTACATTTGCATTTTTTACTTGCAAATAGCTTTTAGTTTCTATCATGTGCGAACTTTGCAAATCCATTGAAAATTTTGTTAGTAAACTAATAAAAATCGAATATTTTCATACGAAACGTTTTTTGTTTTATTGTAGAATAATCGAGCTGAGGAGAAATAAATAATTTTACGAACAAAATCGAATATTGGTAACTGTTCGACAACATGATAGCTTAGAGTGGCGAAGAGAGAGAATATTGAAATGAGACTTCACTGATATAGATGCACTCTACCAACAGTATCATAGACTATTATTCTTCTCTAGAATATAATCAAGTTCAATAAAGTCATGATAGATCATGGAAAACACATACATCTAAATTTCAGAGAATTTCGTATCAAAAAATAAGAAATTCTGAAATCATTTTAGAAATAAAAGAGTTCTCTTCGTATCATATTGATTTTAAAAAATCTAGTGTATTTTATTTGAATATGACTGGCAAATACACTAAGAGTTCAGTCGATATTTCGAATCCTTCCGAAGAAACAATTGAACTATCAAAAATGATTAATCTAATCGACGAGAATGAGAATATACCACTTCTTTCCTTGGACGAAGCGATCAATCCACTTCGTGTCGTTGTTCCAGAGCTTGAACAGATGGTTTTGATAGTGAGAAAAGTTAATAATACATCACCAAATATTTTTAAAATTGATGAATCACATTCCATCTTATTATGTACGATGAAATCGACGCCCATAGATACATCGTTTCGTGTGATTCTCAACAATATCTTACAAACAAGAAATCTAACACTATTGAAACCATGGTTGTATGATATCAAACTATTAATGACAGCTTTAAGTAAACTTACAACGAATTTCTCTCGTATTACTGTTTATCGTGCTGTAAAATTGAATTGAATTACACAATATTCTGAAGGGTGAGTATTGATTTGGTGGAACGTTGCATCATGTACAAGTTCTCTTAATATTCTTAACAACGGAGATGTTTTCGGTCAGAATGGAGAACGAACATTATTTATTATTGTTAGTAAATCTGGTAAAAGCATTCGCCAACATTCACTTTATCCTAATTAAGAAGATATATTACTCCCTGCTGCTTGTCAACTTCAAGTAACGGATTCAATTCGACGCTGGTCATGAGCTGCATTTAATTCATTTGAAGGGAATTCGATCAACACAAAAACACGTAATAGTTTCGCCAGAAAAATATAAACTTCAGATGATCGATCTTTCACAGCGATCATCTATATCTTCGTCATTCCAAAACACTGTCAAAGCCCATTCATCAAGCAGACTGATCATTAGAAAAACCATTTAACAGTCATCAATTGACTCTACGATGCCGAAACATATTAGTCAATTGCTGAAACGTACCGATCCCAAAGTTAAAAAGTGTATTGAAAGCTTATATACGAATCCGGTAATTCTTTTTGATATACGTAGTATATCCTAACAATTTTGATTAACAAAAAGACCTATATATGATTCCTGTAGAATTCATATCATCAGTCTATAAATGATATCATTAGTTTTGTTTTGATATAGACATTGGTCACTCTAGAGATTACATGGAATGAAATTGGTGATGATGAAGCCAAAGCGATTGCCTATTCAGTTCAACAAAATAAAGTGATGTCAAACCTGTTATCTCTTCTTTATTTTTCATTTTTTGTGCATGTAATTTAGATGATTACTACATTAGATCTTCAACATAATCTGATTGGACCCCAAGGAGCACAACATCTCGCTAAAGTTTTACAAAAAGAAAACATGATAAATCTATTTATTTTTTTGTTTACGTTAGTATTTGCGGATTATGCTAGATATTGACGGCAATCAATCTCGAAAATAATCATATTGGAGATGAAGGAGCACAATATTTTGCTAACGCTTTACGGCTAAATAAAGTAACTTGATTATTGCTTCACCTCTTTTCCACATTATATTATCATTTGTTTATTTATTATATTAGAAGTTAACCTAACTAAATCTTCGTACGAATCAAATTAGATCACAAGGAATTCAACATCTTTTCATGGCATTAGAACAAAATCAAGTAATGTTACTTCCGCTAGTTCTATGATTTCACTGATGTGTCACATATTTCAGACGCTCACTAAACGTTACCTTCGATCCAATCCGATCGATAACTTAGGAGCCAGTTATCTAGCAAATGTTCTACAAAAAAATCAAGTGATCTAACGTTTTATATCTCTCCTTTATTATTATTTTATTTACTCATTATCCTAGACTCTCACAGCACTAAGCCTCGCCAATAATCGAATAACAACAAAGAGAGCTCAACACTTTGTCAATGCTCTACAGATAAACAAAGTAACGATTTTTTTTTCTGACGTACATGTCTTCCCGGGTTCATTGTTCTAGACTCTCACAACACTTGATCTTCAGAGCAATGAAATTGGACCTATTGAAGGACAATATCTTGCTAATGCTCTGGAAGCAAACAAAGTAACCGAAATTCTTCTTCTACTTCTATCATTCCATCCGTCATTGGCTATTTTAGATGCTCACAATTCTAAATTTAAAAAATAACCAAATCGGTATTGAAGCAACACGACGCATCACAGAGAGCATACAACATAATTTTACTCTGCATACCATCATATAAACAATCTCTATCGAACGAGTACTAAATAAAAGAACAGCACTCCTGAAAGAATGAATTTTGTAAAACAAATGATTCACAATGCTTATTTTGCTATCAAAGATGAATCTCATAATCACATGAAAAGTTTTCTATCTATAAATGATCACTTGCATTTCGTTTTATTAAACAATTGAAAAATATTTCCATTGGAAATATCCATTACTATTCTTGATTTTAAATTCGTCTCTATAAATCAAGTTTACCATGGTGAAACAAAAACATTTATTCTAAAAAATTAAAGAAAAAAACGATATCCATAAAAACAAAACAAAAAGGAAACCATAAGCGTTTGTCAAGGCCAACATAAATTAAGATTTTTGAGCTATATTAAAAGTAAAACAGGAAATGCAACAGCAACACGAAAATACTTGCTTGTGGATATTGAAAACAATGAGAAAAAGAAAGATTTGAAAAAATTAACATGAATGGAATGTACGACTAAATAGGATTAAGCGAATACATTTTCCTGATGTTAGATCGATCTAACCGAAATATTTATTTCTATTAGCTACTAAATTTCTACTTTTTTTCATATTGAATTAGTAATGTAAGTAATTTGTTAGTGGTAGTCGGTCACCAGTCTACAATGAAAAACACAAAAGTGAAAGACTAATATCTACATAGAATCTCTTCGTCGTTCTATAAGAGGAACAGTATTTTTATCGATTAAAACATTACGTACACAATCAGCACGCTGTTCGCTCACTCGTTCATTAAATGACATAGAAAATTCATCCACATTTGGCTCTTCTGTTGACATAGATCGTTCATTACGAATTCTTTGATTAGAAGATTGTTTTCGATTCAGATGTTGGTGACAACGTTTAACAATAAATGCCATCACCTTATTTGATAGAAAATAAATAAAATTTCTTTTCAACGAAAAATTTCACTTACGCCTGCGAAAATACCGATGATTATAAATAAAAAGAGCATAGTATTCGATGGGCTATATCGATAGTTTTTTCGTTGCTCTGCTGCCTGAGAAATCTGATAACTGTTTAATAATGTTTGTGGTGAATTTTTTACAGTTGACTTCGTTGTTGACGTTATTACTGCAGTTGCTGTTATACTTTCATCAATAGATAAACAGCTTATATCTGTTGCATTGATTTGTAAACAAAGTTGATTTTTACAATTTGTTGTTCCCTGCTTCATACAGAGATTTAGTATTTCAGTTTGCTGATTATTGATGAGAAAAAACGAACGAATATGTTCTTGTGTTAATGTTATCAAATGATTAGAAAAACGATCATTTCCATAGAGTTGAATTATTCTTAAAGATTTTTCGGATGTGATCGAATAGAGTAAACCATCCTAAATTATAAATTCAAACACAAAATGATTTCCTTCCAATAAAATATACATACATTGAAAAATGCGAATAACCATGCAGACGTTAGCCGTATTGAGGTATCATGACATTGTTTAAAATTACTATCGCATGTATAAACAGAGAACTGTTTATCATTTTTCATATTTGATACTGTCCAAAAAAGACGTTTAAATGATGCATCTAAAATAAAATGTTTGAAACGTTTTCTGTTGCTTTCAAAATGAATGTTTTCTTACCATAAATAAATCTTTGTATTTCACGATCAGTTCTATATAAAACTTGTGTTGCATTAGGTTCAGACATATTTGATATCAAAAATTCATACTGAGAAGCAAAAATAATTTGTCTATTAAAAATATCGATTTCAATTGATTGTATTAAATTTGTGATATTATTTAATTGCCAAGAATGCATATTGATAGTTGAAGGAGTAACACATGTAACCGGTGTATACATACGGAGTGTTTGTGATTGATTTTCAATAATAAATAAAGTTTTTCCATTTTCATCATAAGCTAAACTATGAATGCTAACATTGGAAATAAGAATAATAGATTTTAGCGTTATACTTGATGTACTAGAGGTAAGACATAAGATTGTTTATATCAAATCAAAAAATAAACAACTAACCATAGAATATCTTTTAGTATGTGATCATAATGGATTATGAAATGTTGCTTTGAATCGTATTGAATACGGTCAAAATGCTGGTTTTTCTCAATATTAATTGTATCCAATAGTTTTGATTCGTAAAAATCACCAGTATTAAAAATACTGTAGAGGATAATGTTTTTATCAAATAATATTAATAAATTAGGTTTTGATTGATCTATGTAAAGATTTATCAAAATAATAAATTTTCGAAAACAAAACTAAAGCGATCAAACCACTATCAATTTTTCGGCAGGTTCTTCTCTTTTCATCGTGACTGAAACCCGATGGACATGAGCAGTTAAAGTCACCATCTGTATTTAAACAATTGAATGAGCAATACATACGCGTAGAATCACTACATTCGTCGAAATCTAATACCATGAACTATTATTTATTTTACACAATAAAGAATTCGAAAGCTGACCTTGACACGACTGTACTTGATTTTGTGATGAATTCGTCACTAATCGATGACCTTTGTTCGTACATCGACAGAGACTATCCACTATTCGATGTTGAATACAAGTCACGTCAGACTTTGACTTACACATGGATTGTAAAGGACATTTATCGGTACATTCATGCTCATCGTCACCCATAGGACAATCTTTACTGTTAAAATTAATCATTAACGATTTCCAAAATAAAATGCGAACACTCTACACTTACTATCCATCACAGAAACGATCTTTCGATATACAGGTGGGATGTATAAGTGATGATGATGATGATGATAATGATAAACAAGTGTAGCTATTTGATGATGGCGAACATGAATCTGGTACTGAAAATATATATGAAGATAAAATACTGAATATTTCCTAGAGAATTAACTTCTTAGTATTCCTTTTAGGAGTCGCTTCTATCGATTATCGACAGTTGTGACTTGAAGTTGCGGCAATAGTCCTATTTTCTAATCGATTTACTAGGAAAAATTATTTCTGATAGAACAATTCAATCGGTTGTCGATCTATTATTTCTCTTATAGATTCTAATGTTTTACCGTCTAAACTAACAAATGCCGTCACATTAGCTTATAAAAATCTTGAATTTTTTGTCGCTAAAAAACTTCGACAGAAACCTGATTTTAACAAATTTATTTTTCATTGGAAAAGGATAAGTTTTAATAAAACTTTACATAGCGAAATGAAAGATTTGATTGTAAAATAAGAATATCACACTAAACTGCTAACAAAAGTGTATCTAGGAATATTCCAAAGAGACAAATGATGCATTCGCGCTTTTTCTAAACCTGAAGTTAAATACTAAGCGACCCGTTCTCGACGACAGGAAATCCTGAAGGAAATGAACTTTCTCAGAATCTGCTTACTTGCTGATGTCAAATGAGTACAGTTTTGTTCATCATATCCATCTGAACAATGTGAAATGCCATCACACATCTACAAAAAGAAGTACAGAATTTCAATCATCAAACATATGAAATATTTTCTTTTACTTTTGACTGATGAATACATTCACCAGTTGGACAATGAATTTTATCTGATGCACATAAATTATTATGACAGATAGCACCTTCATCACTCCCATCTGGACAATTATGTACTGTATCACATATGCGAGTTTTTTCAATACATTTCCTGCCAGTCGTACATGGCCAAAATCCCGACTGGCATTTTGTTGTACCTAGCATTAGAAATAGACTATTTCAAAGTTCATATATTTAACTGACCACATGAATTTTCATCTTCATTATTAACACAATCTTTTGTACCATCACATATTTGTGAAGGCGATAAACATTCAAATACAGGATAAGATTCGTCATGAGTCGTTACACAGGCCAACGATTCAGTTTCATCTTTTGGACAATAATGACCTACAGAACAATATTCAAGCGCGATCTCTTAGAAACAAAAACAAAACTATACGAACAAACGTTTTGACCATGTTCATTAACGCAATCATGATAATCGACGCAAAATTCCTCAATATCTACACAATGTGTTTTATTTAAACAAGGTACTAAACTATCAGGACAACCGAAGTGTCCTTGTGAAACTACAAAAGAAAAGAATAGTTTTTCAAAAAATCAATTTTTTTATTTACCGTTTACAATCATCAAAAGTATAACAAATAAAAAAGCAGTCCATCTGACAATCATTTCTTGCGAAACTAAAATTAAAAATGCCATTGAATATTTTCATTTGTTCTTGTATTGATTATCAAGTATGTTTTACAATCTAAAAACAACCAACCAATATGCGTGTTATTTCATTCCTCTAATATACATGATAAAATTTTTCTATCGAAACATACTATTTGCATTTTGTCAGATCTGATAATTTGACTTATTATATGATTGATTGTATTGTATCAGCTATTTTTTGCAAGGTGGCCATCATAAAATGTGTGAATAAAATGTCTAAAATGAAAAAAAGGTAATGCTAATGTTCGATATCTCATTAATTTCTATGATGAAGTATAATGTGTTGCAAAAACTACTTTGATGTTTATTTTATTATGTACACAGTTACAACGATGAAAATAGTAAAGAAGAAAAATAACAAACGTGATGTCACTACATACCTCCTACTGTACAACTACAGCTCATCAAAGGATAAGGTTAACCGGCGTGATTATGAAATACTGCTATAAAGTTATCAATATCGACCTTGCCTTTTACTGTTCATGATTAGAACAACAAAAGTTGATAAATGTCTTTCGGTGCACATGTATGAAGAAATATATTTTATTTCATATAGGTACGTGCATACTGAACAGTTATCTACATTTACAACTATTACGCATGTTCTTTATCGTTGAGAACCGATTCACGTTTTAATTAGTTGATTGATGGGACGTATTTTGTCTACTGGTTCAGAAAAGAAGACATTTAGCAAAGACTGTTAAATTAAAATTACCCATCTACACTATTAATCATTCGGTTTATTCATGCACTCTTTAAAAACGGAAATTCGGCAACTTCACTCGCGATTTTCTTTGCGGACAGCGAAGAAAAGTATTTAAAATAGATATCTAGCAGATAAAAAGATGTTTCATGCATTTCTACATCAGTTCATTTTCGAAATGAACTCCTTTTAAATTCATTAATCAAACATAGAAATTCGTACACATAAAACAAAAACAATGAACATTATTTTTCTGTTTATTTTCTTTTTACTTCTACAAGTGTTGTTTTTATATCAAGAATTTTGTCAACAACATCACATTCAATTATTTCAAGTAGAACAGGTTGTCCTAATTTGAATACAAAATTATGATAAACAGGTGGTATTGTATCACGATGAAATGATGCATTGAAACGACTGTGAATTAGACAAGCTAAAAAATACTCAATAGAAAATCTTTTTTTTTGTCAAAATGAAGAAACCTTTACCTATATGTTTCTTTCCAAGTTTTGATACAATCGCGCGAACGCGTCTCCCACGCTCAGGTACAAATAACACAAAACTAAGTTTCACAGGCACCCATAATGTTGGTTCATCTTGAAATGTTTGTCCGACATTGGACAATAGATGAATCTTACCAATGGCCAGTAGAAAACCATTTAATCTTGAAAATAATTAAATTGTAATAAAAAAAAATTTTTTACATAATATTTAAAAACGTACTTTTTTGTTATTTCATTTGAACTTTCTTCAAGTATTCGTTTAATACTTGATTTTACTTTTCCTATTTGACTTGGTGGTACTGGCACAAGAACTTTTTCACATTTATGTTCTAAACATGATTCTTTATCATTAATAAGCGGAAGAATGTCACTAATTTTACATAAATTCATTTCGTAGATTTTATCTATAAAAGAAACTTCAATAAGAATATTTTATTTTTTCAGCAAAGTTTCAGAAGAGAAAAGACGATGAAATTTATTTAACAATAGAAATTCTCGTTTATTTATTTTTCTTTAATGTGTTGTTACACGTTGAAAACCAATGAGTTTATCCGGATCTTGATAAAGCCAGGCATCGGCTGATAATGATTGAATATTTTCGCGTATTTTTTGTAAATGTTGAGTATGTAATTCTTTTTCTGTTTCTGAGCGATAAAATTGTGTTGCATTTTCTAATTCAATGGTATTTAATATCATCGCATTATTATTCGTTGTAGTCGTTGTTGCCATTGTTGGCTCGACCGTAGGAACATGTGGAGATTGAAATAATGCTTTGCGACTGGCATCCATCTGAAAAATCAAGAAATATTATTTTGAAAAATAAACGATTCAAAAGCCCCTTGTTCTTGCAAAGTCCAGTAAACTTTTTAAGAATAGATAAATAGTGACTTTACAATTCATTCTTTAGATTTACAAAGATCAACCGGTATAATATAATGGTTCAAAATGTGTAAATACCTTTCCTTTCGTTATGTCTAATGAGTCATGACGGCTTAGTGAAACCAATGAACAATCAATAGATGTCCTCCTAACATAATCAAATTATATTTATTCCTACAGTTGATCAAATACTTTAAGAACTCATGATTTCAAACAAATAGTCTAACAGCATCAAAATACTGAAGAGTTTTTTTTTAGAAAATTCAATGATATATATTTATATTCGACATCGAATTTGAAAAGAAAAACCGCAAGTAAGACAAGGCTCGTCAATAGAGAATAATACTTCTGGGAAAGAGAGCATCGTGTATTGGATGAAGCTGCATCAATTATGCATCTTTCTACTTTTTCAGTGAAAACCTTTTTGAAAAAATATTTAGGGAACGATTATTTTGATGGATGAATACAACATTTGATTAAATCTTAAGCAGTATAACTCGTCAACACGTTGAGAAACTCCATGTATTGCGTAAAATAAGGAAGAATCACTTTACTTCCACGTTTAATCTGTTTAGATAATAGAACGTATCTGAATCATTTCCTCATTTACATCTTAGTTCAATTCAATAAAATGTTTCTTTTATCGTTAAATCTCAAAAACAAAACCATTGGTCTTACTAGTAGAATAATCTGTCTAACAACAGAAAAAAAAACGAACGAACAATAAAAAAAAAAAAAAACGATAAACACAAGAGAAAGTTCAGTTTCGAGAATGTTCAAGCAAGAATTTTCGACCGTTCACGATATGCAGTCCACCAAATAAGTCCAAATACGATAACAGCAAAAAATTCACTCGGCAGCCATGGACCATAACTTGCTCCCTATAAATAAATAAATTTCTTAAAAATCACAACATTTTTTGTCTCATACCGGATGGCTTAATTCAACTTGACCAAATGGTTTAACTGCTTTGATAGCATCATCCGTTCGAGCCTACGAATAGATATTCACGATTTTAATCGATTTATTATTCTAAAAATAACTTACTTTACGTAAAGTTGAATAAGCTTCATCATCATATAATTTAACTATTGTAGAACCTTTCGCTAAGTGTTTATGAGTTGAAGTCGCTACACTAACCTACAAAATGAATAAAGAAGGCTGATTTCTGTTTTGTTTTATCGATTCGCTTCATACATAATATTTTCCAGGCGATGAAACTGATTGAGCACAAGGAATAACATGTCCATTAATATCAGCATACAGAGTGCCTGGCTAAAAAAGATGTAGGACTTGTTGTTTTGAAAACGAAAAAATAATCACAAACTTGTTTTCCATTTTTGCATTTAACACTTATTTCAAGTTGAGCAGCTGATTCAGCTGTAAGACGAGCATCTTTCGTTGAATATGAATTAACTGTGAATTGTGGAGATTCACAATTTTCACCTGAAACAAAATAAATTATCGAATAAATAAAGTAACCTTCTTTTTACCTCTGGCAACGGTGAATAGCACGAAAACGGCAAAAATAATTGACTTCATGGAAAAATATTGAATCAGCTTGTGAAAAAATACCAGCTACTGTTTGTTTGATGTGGCAAATATCGATGATAAAGCACATACAGTATTTCATTGGAGCATGTCTACTTATCAAAAATCAAAATCAATTTTTACGATAGATGGCTTTGATTTGATCTCTTGTATTTTATTTGAAAAAAAATAATTAAAAAAGAAAGATTATTTTATTTAATTTTTAGTTGAATCACAAGTGAGGACGTAGAAATAATTTTGAATGATCGATTTGCATGAACCAATCGATGATTTCCACAATAGAAGTACCTTTGCTTTCTATTTTTTTGTACATGACAGTCTAATAATGTCGAACATGAGAATCGTTATTCAATGTTCAATTTTTATCTTTTTATTCCATTTTGCATCAAGTAACAAAGATGCTGTCACATGTGGCTCATCATTTAAATTGGTTAATCAACAATCTGGAGATCGACTTCATTCGCATGATGTTAAATATGGTTCCGGCAGTGGGCAACAAGTAAGTTATTATTATTATTTCAATTAGTTTAGCTTCAAAAATTTGCCATTTAGTCTGTTACTGGTACACCTAATGCTGATGATGTGAATAGTTATTGGCAAGTTCGTGGTGATATAAGAAGTGATTGTGAACGAGGGTAAATAATAATTTCACAAGATTTCTTTTATTTGCTAACTAAGTTCTTTTTATATTTAATTCAGAGCTCCGATCAAATGTGATACTGTCATACGTTTATATCATGTTACTACTCATCGAAATTTACATAGTCACAATTATCCTTCGCCATTATCAAACAATCAAGAAGTATCAGCTTATGGCGAAGAGGGTGTTGGAGACGAAGGCGATCGATGGAAAGCTGTTTGCACCACTAAAAATGATTATTGGTTAAGAAAAGATCCTATTCGATTACAACATGTTGTTACTGGAAAGTAAGAAAACATAGATTCAAATTTTAGTTATAACTGTTCCTCCTAAATTCATAACGACGGTTTTCTATCAGCTGCGGAGAATAGATAAAAGTGAAAAGTTTTCCTCACGCATAGCTAAGTTCAATGCACGACGTGGAACAATACCTTTCGATTGATGAACTAAAACATCTTTCCCAATTCTCTTTCTGAGTGTACTGCGATTGGTTTCGATATTGAATACTATTTTACTACTCGAACACTCGGATATCCCCTTGAGGAAACTCTGTTCTACTATAATACTATTCGTAATTATTAGATATTTAAATCACAGATATCACCGGTTAGGCTTCGAGAAAGGATGGATAGATTTAAAATTCTAAAGTATTTGTTTAGATATCTTCATTTGAGTGGTGATACATATGGTCGACCCATTCATGGTCAAAAAGAAATCAGTTGTTATGCATATGCCAATAGTCAAAATCTTTGGAAAGTTGATGCCGGTGTTTATGTACGACAATCATCGGAACCATTGTCATCAACACGTGATGAGAACTACAACGCACAATCATCAAAAAATGATCATTTCGATGATGAACTTTGAATAAAAACTGCTTAACTATTTGATAGGTTCTGTCGTTTTTCTTTCTCTCAGATCATGATGGTGTGATGACGCTTTTTCTATGTTTTGGTTTTGTTAATTCTTAGCTTTATTTATTTTTCAGTTTGACATAAAAGAACAAGATGAAAAAGAAGGATCGATGTGAAACAGCGAGCGCAAGCATCTCTTCTTTTAAATAGATACTTGATGTGTTTGTTTTTCTCAATCGTTAACATGTTTGATAACATTCCTCGATGTTGAAACCTAGAATTATGGTTTCATTAAGATATTATCTATGTATTTGATGCACTTTAACTGATAAATCTTGTTGTATTTCCTTTTATGTTAAACAAATAAACAAGCATGAAGTCATTGACCTGGTTTTAATTGTTCTTCTATGTTTAAAAGTATAGATGTGCCATCCATTGAGTGATTCAAGGGGAGGCAGCGGCTCCTGATGGATTCTAGAATCCACTATGATACATTTTAATTAATGATTTTATATCAATATTTTAAACAATTTGCAGTTGCTAAAGTGAACAACGAGACTCGTATATGTAGAATCTATGACTTTGATCAAGTTTTGAAAAAATTACGAAGGTGACCATGCATTTTTTCACAGATTTAAATGCTTAGAAAAAAAAACTTGCAGATTTTATTGTACACAAAAAGAGAAGAACCGAAGAATTCATTTTTCATATTATTCTATGACTGAGAATGTGTTACAATAGCCCTGAAAAAATTATTTAGCCTTTTTGTAATATAGACGATACTGTTGAAAAGAAGAATATTATTTTGTTTCTACCGATGACTTTGCCTGTGTATTAACTAACTCTTCATATTCAATTGCAAAGTTCTAACAAGTACATCAATATGACTTGGTGAGGGTTGGGCACTAAATTCATCCGTGACAAAAATGCTTCTATGCAGCGGAAAAATTCTCCTCGGTCAAAAATGATCCAACACCAATGTGTGATCTTTAGTTAGATTATATATCTATTCGCGAGCGGGAAAATGGGGAAAATGATTTCAGTGCATAAATTCTAGGAAAAATGCTTTATATTACAGGGATGAAAGTCTTGATATAATCGCTCTAGTTTAATGTAAAATAACAAGAGAAGAATTGAATGAATGAGTGGTGCGTTGGCTAACAGGAAAAGTAATTTCAAGTGATACATTCATTCTGTTGAATGGCAGGAGAGCTGGATGCATAGTTCATATGCAAGTGCTTGAATATCAATGCACACATATGTATACAGTCGGTTGTCATCTATATGAAGAACGGAAAGAAAATTCATTTTTGACCTGAGCGACATTTTTCTGCTTGACAAGGGCTTTTATCTCACGGATCGATTCATTGCCCACTGCTGATATGCAACGTACTGTAAATAATTTCATCATATACTAAAAACTTTCTATCTAATCGTCTCGAAATCATATAGTGCAGAGCTCTAAATGGGTCGACCTGCCCAACCGATTCTTATATGTTTTTCTTTGTTTTTACTATTGAATTTGCTCTTTTTTAAATTAGGCATCTTCAAAAATGTTAAGGGAAGAAAAACAAATGTGGGTTTCATGTCCGCTTAATCTAATAAACAGTTGACGTTGCTTGAACTCATCTTTTCTATCGTTGACACGCAATATTCTATAACACATAAACTGTGTTAAATAGGGCGAGAAAGTAATTAACAAAAATAATGTGTCGAACATATACTGTTATCGATAGTTGAAGGTGTAAATAAACACTATATATCGAATTCTTCAACTTTTATTAAAGAGGAATTTCACGGGGAGTATATCAGTTACTGAAAAAAGGCAACATTCGGAATTCTGAGCTGCTTTTCTAAGCGAAGTTTTTCTCGATTTTGGTCATAAACCTATTTGAACGAAATCTGATTTTTTTTTTACTTTTAAATTGTCTGCAGGAGAGCGTACTTTCAAAAAATGGAAGAGAATGCGAAAAAAACGTTTCAAATTTTGAGGCAGGGTAGGCGATTTTTTCTGAAGTTTTTATAAATTTTTCAAAAATCGGTGAGCAAAAAAACGAAAATTTTCAAAGCAGGGGTACTCTCACACCGCCCCCCCCCCCTGGGCGCATGCCCTTGATTGTCTGACTATTGTGGTTGCACGATTTTTGCTCTCCTTTTCATCTACAACAAAAAATTTCTTTAAAAATCATTCGTTGAAATTTTATTTCATGTAAAAACAAATAAAATAAGACATTACGTTTAATATGAATTTTTCTAGTAACTGAAATATTTAAGCAATAAATAACAGACTACTCGAAAGTGCACATTTTTTCACATTTTTGACATGCACAGACCTCATGATTTGTCCATATAAGAGTTTCTTTCCGTAGTAAAACGTTTGGATGAGTTATGTGCACATTTAAAGCAACTTGTGCGCTGAACGCATGAAATGAAAATTGCATCAAATGGGCATCGTTGGAACGATCAACTAGAATAAAATAACAACAACTTCCTCGCCATTCAGGCTGTCTGATGCACGTTACTCATATAGATTTCTTTTTTGAAGTTCATGTTAACATGTATATTATTTAAACTATGAGCTTTTATTAGAAATCGGATCGTTCTTGAACATAAATTTGAAGAAGCAAAAGGATGCGAGTATGGGTGGAGCTGGAAGTGGTGGTTCGACTCTTATCTACATATCCATACTAACTGCCACACCTACACCCACGGTAGATTTTTCATCAGAAAAATGTTACAGATTGCTGAAATATCATTCTGTTAAAAGAATACTTATAGAATCTCAGTTGTGATGATTTTCAATTTGTGGCTATCGAAATCACCTTTAGATTAACTGATTAATTTGATTTACTTTTCTTCGAATACTCAAAAGTCTACGAATGTTTTCTGAAAGTCTCAAAGTTATAGCATGCACTGAACTGGCAGTACAATGATATTATGGGTAGGTGTTGGTGTAAGTGTGGGAAAATAATCTCTAAAGCTTCATCCACACCCTCAATAAACTTTCAGTAAAAAGCAAATTTAATGTGGCCCTAATGTGATCGATACATTTCAACAAGATTATGAATATACACTTCCTTAAACACCTGATGATTATGTAAAACATTGGTTATGAATAGTTCTCATATTATTGTCTTCATATACCAAAATCGAATATACCGAGTGGTGCTCGCTATTGGTACGTAATATTTTATATTTTGTTAGTTTGGTGGTAAGAGTGATAATTTGACCCGAATATGGTCAATGCTCTTGTGTATCAATATAAAAGCTTTCACTGTTAGCTTGGAAAGAATATAGAATTCTGGATGTGGATGTGATCCTTTCGTTTTAGATGCACACCCATACCATATGAATCTTTCCTACACCCCACACTCTTGATAAAATTACGTGAATAATTTTGAGCAGGATCAATAACTGTATTTAAACGATTATTTGATGAATAAGAATTTTCTATTTCATTTGCATGGTCAACAAGTCCTTTTAAAGATTTTCAGCTTGTTTTTTTATATTTGTATGAAGTTCCGTAAATAAGTTTTCCTTTTTATCAATATCCATAGATTCATTTGACTTTTTTTTCTTTGCAATATGAACACAAGAACAAATGAGTATTTAGATAGAGCGTCAGTTTTCATGTTTTCATTGAATTATTTGTGGTATTTCACTTTGAAATTATATTTCATAACATTCAAGTGTACTTAAATTGAGAGCAATACATGAATTTGACTCAGCAAAATATGGAATACAGATAAGACGAACTTGAATACCATTTGGTCCTAGAAACAAAATTCGAATATTATATTAAGAAATATTCCGGATGGTTAAACTTTTCAAAAGGATTCAAGTCTTGTAAATAACCTCGCCAATCGATTGTCTAGTTACTTTTTAAAAACCAATTAAGTTTTAACAGATGAAATTAGAATCGCGTGTACCTTTATTTTTCTCTAAGCATAAAGTCATCTGACGTTCTCAAATATTACTTTGGAGAAAATTGTAAATGTAAACTTTCGCATTCCATGAGTACACTTAAAAATTAGTTTCATATTGTCTATATATCTATGGAATACAATCATTCGTATACTTTAAAATGGTCTTCATAAGTAAAAAATCGAAATAAACTAAACGCTTAAGTTTACCGGTGGAAATGTGATTATGTAATGAATAAATTCAAACTAAAGTATTTTCTAGCAATTTAATTAATCGAGGACGACAAGTTTTAATTAAATGAGCAAAAATCTCATCTGTGCATTTCCACAAACGAATTAATTCTTATGGAAATCAGTATTGGCAAAAAGGCAATCACTGTTTGAAAAACTACATTTTATAATGCGAAGGTTAAAAATCTGTCATGCAAAAGCAAAATAGAAAATTAATCAAAATAGTGCTTAGTACAATCACTCTTTTCGACATTTTGATTCTGAACACATATTCGGAATGAGCGAAAAACGTTTCAGTCTAACCAGTGGTCGAAAAACTAGTAAATATTATGCGTCAAGACTAGAGAAGCGCGAGATCAACTTTGTTTGGTCCCGGTAACATTTTCTCGGTCTCGCGCATCTCTAGTCAATAGTGTATTTTGAATGATGAACTTTATAAAGAAAAAACTGATTTATTGTTCTCATTTTAGGGTTTTCAACAAGAGTAAATAGATAATGATCATACCTTGAACCAGACATATGGATAGCAACCTACAATATCATAACTACTTTTATTGTTAAAGAACTATTTTATTATACTTAATGTATTAGGACGTGCTGGTGCAATAGCACTCCATTTAAGACAATCTTCAAGTATCTGAACACGACTCTCAATAGTTGATTGAAGATCAATATCATCTAAATCCTGCCCTGATGTGCCAGGAAAACTATAAATCTTATGTAAAATATGAACAGAGACATAAAAAAAAACTTCTCTCAGTAAATATCACCAATTTGAAAATCATATGCATGTGACAACTAAAACAATGAAAAGCAAATATTAAGAAAAAGCCTTTTCTTTAAAATTTACCTTGGATCATTCACGCCGGGCATGATATCAATATCAGTTATTGCCTAAGAAATCAAAGTTTCCAGAAAAATACAACATACAGCAGTTTTATCAAATAATTCACCAATAGTATTCATTGCTTCAACACTACTTGCTGTCATTTTTCGTGTTAAATATTTCGCCTTAAAATAGCTCAATGATTATTATTTATGATAGAAGAAAATATAACTAACTTGATTTGTTGAATCTTTAAATCAATCTGAACTTTCAGTTGAATTACCAGCAACAAAAAATCGAACAATATTACGTAAAATTAATTTTATTTGTTCACATTGAAGATTTGTTGGTCGAGTCAATGAATTAATAAGATATTCAAGTTGATTAAAGATTATTGAGGTTTCAAATAAAATATATCTATAAGATATATATGTTCAAAATTTTATCCTAATACATATAATTCTTACTTATCCTCCGTTGGAGGTGATAATGTTTTTGGTATTGAAAGATCTTTACAACAATAAACTGTAACAATAAATACACCTTCGTCATTTTCATAACCATGTACCGCCATAACAATACCTATTCAGAATAAAAATATGGATTTTAACAAAAGATGCAATCGAACATTGGTTACTGAAGTGCCAATAATAGATCAAGCCTTTTCGTGCAAAACAAGTAATGCTTCATTCATTCATTTGTTTCCTGCCGTTGGATCGGTCATGAAATTTTGTCCACGCATCTATAGGCTGTATACTCATTAGAAACACTCCCAAATATTGATCTAGAACGAATTTATCCTTGATAAGATATTTACTTCAAAGAAAAAACATATGTTTTGAGCTTTGTTTCAAAAAAATAATTTCGATACAAATATGTATGTCATACCCCAAACTTCTGGAATTCTTCTTGTGACTATCAAGGAGAACATTTTTGTTCGAAATCTTATTAATCAGGTTTTTAGTTTATGTTCGAAAATCGAGTCAAATGCCAACAAGCAAGCCAAAATAAAAACTTTTACTACTGTTCCTGACCAATCGAATAGTAATAGTCTCAAGCGAAGAGCAAATGGACAGTTGGAAATGCTCTTATGAACTGTTCTGCTATTAGCCTCGAGTTACTCAGACACTACCTTTGGTTCGAAGACCAGGGACTTTCGTAATATCTAGTTCTAAGCTTATTCATTATCAATATCAGGTATTTAGTTGTTTTAAGGTCAATAGATGAATGATATTATTTAGATGATACGCATTGCCAATAATATACAAATCGGAATATTGTCTGGAAACTTGTGTACTTCGAAGTTCATTAATGAAGTCTGACTAGTCATTTGCTTTTAGTGTTCAATTTGTAGAACCGTAGATTACTCGCCTGCTGCTTTAATTTGACCATTATGGAAAAAAAGAATCAAAATAAAATCTGTATGATCAATTGTGAATAGGGAACTGTGGGACCGCCTTTTTTCGTTCCTCCCCATTATGGTTCTAATTCTATTTAAATTTTCTATAGCTTCCTGTTCCTGATTATTTAACAACAAGCACCTTTCGCAAGATTAAGGCTGAGTTTTTATATGTGTTTTTAATAAAAATATGTGTCAGGATCAGCTTCAAAAATGATAGCTCTCGATCCCACAGAACCGGGCCCACTTTGCAGTTTCCTAATTGTGAGAGTCGCTCTATATGATTTAATTACCCGTAATCAATTGATTAATATCAATTTTTCCAGCAAGTACAATTTTTTGTGTTTCTTCTTCAAGAATTAATGTATCAGTGGGATCAACATAACGTGTGCGAGCTGGTTGTAAATCGAAACCGTTGTAACAACAACAGAAAAGAACGTTTATTTTTCGATTTATCAAAAAAAGAAGATAAATTATTTACTTCAGTTGTTAATTGTTTAACAATACTTGGCTTCGAAACCATTTGTTTAAATAAAATTTTAATAGGAATACATCTTCGCCTAATAGGAGATCATCCTTTTTTTTTAATTGGTACTTTTTAATCTAAAATTTTCGAATGAGTTAAAGTGGTTTGATCGTTTTTTTTTAAACTAATTAAACCAACCGCAGCGATCTATCAGCTGCTTCTGAAACCAATTTTTGCATCGCTCCAAGGTACTCGGATAAGTTCTTATATTCGACTAAAACAAAGCAAGCGACAGCGATAAGGAGCTCATACTGATCTTCACATATCTTCAAACATTCACGAAGACCCATAAAATCCACTAGAATCCACCAAAATCCACGAGGAACCGTCAAAATCCAAGGAACCAGCAGCCGCTTTTCCCCCTTGAAGTGATTACATATGGCAGTTAGAGAAATTCACGTTAGAATACTATATTAATTGATAAAGAAACGATGTGTTCGTGACCCGAATCGATAGCGTCATGCAATAGTATATTGAGAACATTGAATGAACTAGATACGCTAGTCAAAAAGACACACTAAAAGCAATTACCGATAACATGAGGCAAACATAAAAGTAAAAATATTGAGTTGCAACTATGCTTTACACGCTATTAGAAAAGAAACAAAAAACTATTAGTTTTTCGAGGATGAATCCAAATTGACTCGTAGATCTTTGTAGCAAATTTCAAATAATCTAAGTGAAGGATGATAGATAAAATTATTTGATCAGTTACAATACTGCTTGTCTCATGCAGCAATACGAATAGAATTTATTTGGATACAAAGAATAAAAACATAATGGTTTTGATTTTGTTGCATCGGCAAACCAAAAGAACCTTTTATTTGCCACTTCTATTCTTTGTATTGATTGAAAACAGAACACACTTTCATTTCTTATTTGTCTTTATATGCAGTGTATTACGTAATTGATTGATACTCGAGTAGTGGAAATCATGAATGAAAGAAGATCTTTAAATTCTATTGGCACGATTTCGATATCAAACCGTTTCATAGAGGACCGAAGAATTCTTATATATCGATTAAAAATCGAGCTAATTCCATTTGTCTAAAAATGACATACAAGTAACCAGGACGAATATAGTTTTGTTACATTAGTTTTTACATGTTTCACATCCATCATTGTACGGCACGGTGAACTATTATATAGATGAAAGTTATGAGTAGATTACTCGCAGAAAAGGCTATCCTTACTGTAATATGTAACTGGTGCATCCCTAAATGGCACAATTAATTGAATGAAAAAAAAGTTGAATAGAAATGAACTTCGTGCGTGACTATGGTAAATTTTTCTTCACAATACATCTATTTCTTTTGGATAGACATCCATTATAATGTTTAACCATCATCCCAAAATATAGATCTTGATGCTGAAAATTTTGAATCAAGTGAAATTTTCAAGACATGACTAACCTGCAGGCGATGGATCAGATAAAATATCCATCTGATAGTGGTTAAGATAAGAAGTTATTTGACATTCATAATCTCTTTTTAAGTTTTAATTATATTCATTTCTTTTTATTCTTGAGTCTTGACAGAATACAATACATGGCATATTCACGTTTTCATAGATGCTTAGATAGTACCGAGAGAAGAGCGATGAAAAGTGTAACATTTTGAAGAAATGTCAAAAACAAATGCCACTCAAATTATTAAAATAGTAATAATCAAATAATGCTCAGACATACTTTCGTAAGCAAAGAAGTCATTAACTACAATGAAACTTTTTCGAAGATACAGCGGTGCACAACCAATAAAACATCATCAAAACTCATATCCTTTATAAAAGACGAAACTTGAAATTTTCTTCCGTTCATAAATTGGCTATTTTTCAGGCAGTCTAATACTATCATTTGAACCACCTATACAAGATAGACGATAGCTAGGAAGTGTTCGTTGAAATCAGTACACTAATATTGGTCTATATGATGATAGTTGTATTCGATCGATTTCAATTAGTTAAACTCTGTTGCATATTAAAGTTATTTTTCTAAACTATCATGTTCTCCTTGTCAATTTTGTATGATACGGAAGATAGTTCAACTTCATGGCCGTAAATCAATATTTCATACATCGGGGAAAAGAAAGTCAAATAGACTATCGAACGAATTTTCCTGTTTTTTTCAGTGAATTTTATATTGAATATTTTAAGAAAGAGTTGAGTTCCAAAGCGATAATGTCGCAGTTGTTGTTTTCTTGGATTAGGTTGAATTCGACTATTGTCTGTTGACATTTCACTTCTAGACTTTTGATACCCTTCTAACTAGTCTCGACGAATGCACAACTAGATTTTCTACTACTTAACACTGCTTAGATTGAAGAGTACAAGTGAGTTTTTTCGCACGATATTTAATGTAATAGTTATCTAGAATAACACAGCTTACACAAATCCTCACTGGAATTACAGATTAATTTAATGCTTTAAACCTCATGTATATTAGATTTAACTCTACGTAACTAACTTCTGTACAACGAAAAATTCACCAGGCACTAACACTCTATTGAAGAACACTATCGTTTTTTTGCTTATTAATAGCAACCTAAAATACTAATTGATGTATAAATATTTATTAAAGCTTCGACAGAGATAAGAATTTCGATTAGCGATTAAACTACAACCTAATAGGATAGTAATGCATGACAACATTTATGTCATCGAAGACATTCATCGTATTTGACTTTATATCTCTATGTAGGATGGTAGTAATCTTCGTTTTATTTTTCTTTTATTGACAACAAATATTGGTAATTATGTTAGAATCGAATTAGAATTTATTCGTAGATTAATTGATCTGCATACGTATGTCAAGATTATGAGGAGAAATATATAGTTAAATTATATTTTTGAATTTCTATGCTCTGTAATTGAGCCGATTTGGATGACTAACCAAAAATAAAACGAAGGATTAATTGCGGCTGATCAGAGAATTTCAGTATCGGTACGATGCACCGGGCTATTTCCACGCACCGTTTAGCAATAACAATTGAGATATAACTATTGTTGCATTAGAAAAGAAGACTATTCTTTATTTATTATTTAAGACTTATGAAAGTAACGCATGAATTTTGCTTCTTTCTCATGAGAATTTTTCATCGCTGCCATGCATGAAGAGGATTGTGTAACTGATGAAACAATCGTACTTCAACAGTCAATCATCAAGATTAAGTCTTGTCATCATAGATGTCACAAGCAAAAAACCACAATATTCTGTCTAAATAAAAAATAAGCGATTTTCCCACCATGTTAATCACATGAGTGATAACATATAGAAATGATTCAAGTTGTTATTCTAGATTAATAAGATTTTTGACTAAATCGCTATAGTGTGTTCTGAATGATGTTTGACTTTTTTAATATTTCAATTCAAAGTAAGAAAATCTAGTTCTTATTTAATTTTAGTTTTCATCTTATAGCAAGTAAATATGTACCTGAAACTAAAAAATAATGACTTTAACCATAAATAGAATTTTGTGTACATAGCTGGCAGAAAGAATAATAAAGAAAAATGAACTCTTTCAGTTTAAGAGAAGAATTTATTTAGATTTACATAGATCATCGCCATCAATTAAGATAAATATCCAGTTTGTCATTGTCGATTCATAATCTTGTCAAACGATAAGAATCATAGATTTACACCGCGATTAGAAAAAGTAATTAACACACAAATTCAATTTATCAAGGTATTTTCTGTACGAAGATTGTTTTACTCTTTTACGCGCTTACTTTTAAATCATTTTTAAGCTTCCATGGTAAACAAAATTTTCTCATCTTTATCTTCAAGTGAGCTATTTGAGTACCCGTTTATTAATACATATTCCAAAAACAAAATGAACACAAATTGTTGATTCTATCTGCTAGAATTTATTCAATAAACATTCAAAGTATTTTTGTTTTTACTTGTGAAAATAATTATTGTGCACGCACATCTAAGTACTTTGTAAAAAAATAACATTGAAAAGTCATTCTAGCTGACTTGTACCCAAGCAAGACCAATGGAAAATTAGAAATGAATTTCAATGTTATCCATGGGCTATTCACGGTTCAATAATAAACACAACAAATTAATAAAAAATATACAGACGACCTATAGGATGTCATGAGAGTTTTCCGTTTCTTGTTATTCTTTTATTTAATTTTAGAAACGACTTTTCTTTTAATTTCAGTATAGGTTGATGTGCTAAATGTGCATCTCAACCACTTACCGGCAAGAGTGCCCTTCAAGACTATTATCATGCATTGAAATATAAATGCATACCACTTATTTTATATTTAAAATAACATTATACAATGATTAGTTTTTAATTGCTTCGTTATGTCGGATAATATTCTAATGATTATTTTTCTACATCGCTGGATAAATACAAATGCTCTACTTGTTTTATTCGAAAAAATCCGCTTACTGTTCTGAGCTCCACAACACTAAAAATTGGCTCAATTTCATAATGACCTAAAGATTAGTCAAAAAGAAAATTTACCAGTCATACACTTAAGTTTCTTCGATGTGATTTTCTAGAGTAAAAATAGAATTACGAAAAAAAAATCATTTTCCCGTAAACTATGACATTTTCACAATACTCTAAGGGTACCCATCAATATTGAATCAATAAGTTTAATAATCAACAGTTCAGACGAAATAGATTGCCTTCATGAGTTTCAAGACTACTGAAATTTATAAAATTGAATTTCTTTTTGTAGGAATTTCATCAAAAAAGAAATTTCTATAAAACTAAATACTAAAGAGTAAAATGATGAGAATTACTGTCATTTTTTTCCATCGTGGCTAAAGATCATAGGTTTGAAGAATACATTTGAAGCTTTCTTTTATAACAAGAAATAAGATACCGAGTCGATAAAGTCAATGCGTACAGCAAAAATATAAGAGATAACCTTTGCAAACGAACTTTCCGGACGTCTTTTTTGATTGCAAGTACTTCATAACAATGTCTAATGGCTATTTTAATTCGATATTTGATTGATGTTATTCAATATTTTTCTCTTCTCTTTTGACAGAAGCCTCCATAGCGCATTGTTATTGTTAGATGCGAATAAAATACCAAAGAGAGAGAAAATTAGAGTAAAATCATATCTTCTATCTTTTTACATAAAAAAATAGAACGCCTATATTATAGAAAAATACGGCTCACATGAATTTCTGCCATTTTCCCATCAGACGAATAATGAGAAAAATATATACTTGTAGAAATCATGGTAACATTGTCTTGCTATTAATGTATTCTTTTTTCTTACTTCATTGAATGCTGTAAATGAAAGTCAATTTAAGAGCAGGATTTTCAGCTAATAGAACTTGAATGATTTTAATCAAGACGACACGACCATAATTATCAAATGAACAAAAGAAAATATATGCAGCAAATATTCTCATGATTATTGGCCTTCTGAGTATTACATATATAAATATGTGAAGACAGACAATAAGAGTTTTATTCCACTGATTACGTTTCTCTGAGAAACAACAAAATCGCGAATGACTTTTGCCTAGAGAACAGCTGATTGTCTTCCTTCCGATTGTGAAGGTCGAAAATGGAAATATTTTCTTGACCTGAATCACTATTTCCTTCAGATAATGGGAATACAATTCCATCACAGAAATAACTATTAAAAGGGCATCTGTACCGAATACTTTTTGGCAACTAATAAAATACCGATGTGGTGTGATACTTACTTCTACCATAAGAGGAACAAATCCAGCTGGTCTAACTAATCAGTCTACGCTAAAAAATGACGAGTCAAAACGTAGGAAGAAAATGTTTCGTAACACAATCATCAATCATTCAATAATGTGCTGCTTCAATCGTTGTATGTATAATATGATAGGAAAACGACAAAATCAGGGCGTTATACATAGTTTAAGAAGATTTATTTAAAATATTAAACCTCATTAAAAAATCTTAAGATCAGCGGCGTGAGTTGATCGTATTCAACACAAACGCTCACGTAATTATATCTGATTATATTTCTCTATGTAGCATTGTCTTTTAAAAGCTTAGTATTAATAGTATATTGTCGAAAGTTAAATCAAATTCTTCTAATCCTTTACTTGCTTCTGCTAGATTCGATAAAAGATAATGATTAAGACAAATTAGTCATTCTTTTATCCAATAAAAATAAATTATAATAATAACATATTACTGATCTTCTTTTTTTTGTGCTATGATAACCACGCGTAAAGGTATATAAATCGTTAATCGATAAAAAATAAACACCAATGAGCAAACATCAGGAAACAAGTCATATGCAATGAAAACCACATTCATTTAGCTCTCTCATATTATTACCTGTACAAATTTAATGGCGAAAGAAAAAAAATCAGGTATTCACAAATTGACAATAATCATTAATAAATGTATATAACTATACATAACCAAATGTCGAACCGTAGACTTAACGCAATCCATCATTTTCGATAGAAAATGGCTGTCTTGTCAACAAAAAGAAATATATATATATATATATACATCTAACCACGATAATTAAACTTATGGCTGATATCAAAGATCTTTAAAAAATACAGGTCACACGAGTGCACCGAGAAAAACTACAATAATGGTTAAATCACGCGCATCCTCCTTCTGCACTCTAGGGTCGATATAAGAAGCAACAAAGATAGACATGTGTTGACATCGCGCCATATCTCTGACTAACGTTGAATATCTATTATACATACATATATATATATATATATATATATATATATATATATATATATATATATATATATCGCCGCCCATCTTATTTCTACTTACACTACTGTAGAAAGAAGTATCTGTCTATCAACAACAAGACAAAATGATGATAGACATGCATATCTGATTTGTCGCTTATAGAATATACACACTTGAAAAGAACAAAATATATTGAACAAAGACGGATCAATGTAGATGATATTTATTGACCTAATAAAATAATTGTGACATGCGTTACACTTAATAGAACAATACTAAATTTTTTTCATTTTTCACCTAAAAGATAGTTTTATATTGTCTTTTTCTTTGCCATAAAAACTAAGTCCATTAAAAAACTCTACGACGTAAACATATCTGCACATGTATCAAGCACCTATTTGTTTGTAAGCAAGGTATTGAATCAAGAAAACGATAAATAAATAAAATTGATAAGATTAATATTTCTTTTGTCTAGAAACAAATTGTTCGAGCCATTTAGTTGTATGTTCTCAATTGTGTACCGAAAATTTGTCTGATGGACTTTTTTACCGACGGACATACTTCACCTCGACAGCGAATTCTTTCTTTCTCGCAATTCATAACTATGCTCTTATTCACTTCTATATTTCTTTGACTAGTTCAATTTTACTTATGGTCATCAAGCAAAATCCCTGAAACAAACTTACGATTCAATACATTCCCAAAGGCAATAAGACCGTATGGGTTCGATGTACCAGTGATTGTTCATGTATGTGCAATTTTATATTACATCAAGTCAAATAATGAAACAAAATGCTTTTCTTTTGTTCTGATTCTTTTCTTGTTGAAATCATTTTGACACATAGTCAAACAGTCGAATGAATGAACGAATAATGAAGAAAAAGAAGACCGATTTTTATTATCATCATCATCATCCCAAATACACACACACTGGTTATTTTCTGTCAAACGCAATGTGCAGGAAATCAAAAAAAACGATCTCACTGTGCAACAAACCACAGACACACACAAGAAAGAAAATTTTGCACAAGAGAAAAAAAACAAACATCGAGGTCGACAGTACAATGTGTACATACAACTTTTCAGTGAAACAAGAAGGAAAAAAGTACTTGTATATATATACTACCCATCTCCCTTGAACAATAACGCAACTGTTACATTGTATTCAGTAGAACGAGGGACAAGAGAAAGAAAATAAAGGATACATATTAAAAATAAAGCGAGAGAGAGTGAGCGACAGTCGAACGAATGCGCAGTTGATCTGTACAAATAATGTTAGTTGATTTCTTTTTCTTGGTATAAGCGAGTTTGTGAATTAAAGTAAAAGATGTACATGGTTGAATTGTGCATATGTAGATGATGCACATCATTTGCATAGAAACCAAAGAAAAAAATCATTGAACAAAAACGACAGACGGAGAAAAACAAAGATAAGAGGGAAAGAAAAAAAGAAACGTTAAAACTACAATGAATTACCACGAGAGGTAAGACAACCTGCTGTTGATTTCGACAATGAATGTAAGTCTTTTAATTGATTATTACTATGTCCACCACGACGACGTGGAACTAATGATAAACATAAGTCTCTCGATGAAGGGAACTTTAACCATGAAGATTGTAAACATTGATCTAATGAAGGTCTTTCTGATGATCTTATTGATAAACATTGTTCAATTAGTTGTATACATTCTAAAATGAATTCGTAAATATATAATTAACAATGTTTCATTAGTATAACATTTAGGGCGATATGCTCGTTTATGATGTTACATAGCGTGACAAGTCGTTTTTTTCCTTCTTCTTCTTTTAATACATTATACATTCATAAGAAAGCCCATAGGAAAAAAAGAAAATATTTCTTTTCACAAAACGAAACATTTCCATTGATTAGATCGTGTTATTTTAAATAGTTGAAGTAGTATTTTTTCTCCTTAACAACAAGAATACTGATATATAATTTGTGTTCTACATTTTGACTATCATCACTAACTACTATTTTGTCAATTGAGTACTATGTTTTGTTAATAGTTTAATATTTTACCTGGCGAAAGATGACTTGGAAATGGTGGTTGGCATTTAATTATAGCTAAATCGTCCGAAAATGGAATATCACCACATACTAAATCGTATAAAAGTATTCCTAATGACCAGACAGTTTGTGGTAAACCAAAGTATCGTCGACATGTAACCCATTCCGGAGCTGCATAACAAGATGTCCCTTCGAAATCAGTATAAATTCCATCTTGTAATAGAGCACCAGAACCAAAATCAATTAAATATAACTGTCCACTACGCATATCAACAAGAAAATTTTCATCTTTAATATCTCGATGAAGAACCTTTACAAATAAAAGAAAAAAATTCGTTTAGAATATTAAAAATTGTTAACTAGTTAATTTTTCTTCTTTTTTACTTACTCCACATGCATGTACATCTTTTAGAATTTGTATAATTTGCTTAAAGAAATCGCGTGCTAAACGCTCATCAAGACCGCCTGGACGTTCAGATATAAAATCATATAAATCACAACAACGATCAGGCCGTTCAAGGACAATAACAAGTTGATCATTGTGAATAAAATATTCTAACATATGTATAACATTTTTTACTTTAGCTACACGACGTAATAAAACAACTTCAAGTGGTAATTTTCCGTCAGCCTAAAACAAAACAAATGATGAAGTTTAATTAATTTCGTTACTTAACTATCTATTGATATCTTACTGAATTTGTTTCACGCATTCGTTTTTTTGCTACAACTTTAATTGCTACTTGCATACCATCTTTTTTTCTTACGCCGGCATACACATCTCCAAAACCACCTGATGCCAGTTTATGGGCTATTAAATATCGTGCATGGAGAGGATCAACAACAGCTTAAATAAACACAGAAATTAATATATATCGAAAAAAAAAGTTAAAAATCAACTAATATTTCTATCAATTCATTTTTATCTCCATTTTAGAAAATATACAGTCAACGAAGACACATTATAGAAAATATTCTTTCTACCATATTCACCTCAGTGAATTATACTGTCTTATTGTATGACGACAAGAAATAGAACCTATTGTACATTAACCATATATTTCTGGTATATATCATCATCGATTATACCAATGACAAGCTTTCAAACAAAAGAGATGAGTGAACGTAATAACCAATATTTTTACTATCTTCAATATTTATACTCTTTCACCTATAGATGATAAGATAATCGTAAACAATTTGATTGAACTTACTTGATCGAGCTTTGTTTGTTGATGTTGTACTAGTTTCTGGCCGTTGTTGATGAACTGTTGTGTCTTGTTGTTGTGGATGATGATTATTATTATGATGATGCTGTTGCTGAGAAGAAGGAGGAAGAACAAGGGTAGTCATAATGATAAAAGATGATCGTTTTATTGATCTTGATATTAGAAATTTGTTGTCTTTCAGTAAATGTCGATTATTGTAGAATAAGAATAGTAGAAATTTTGACTAGTAAAATGCTTATCTAAAATATCAAATATGAAAATATTTGTTTCATTGACAACAAAATGATTGCGAACTACTGTGCATACGTGTATGCGTGAGTGTGTTGCGATAATGGGAGAAAAAAATTGCAAAATGAATTGTCTTTTCTTTTTCTTTCTTTTTTTTCTTTCTCATTTTCTTTTGTCTCGCTTTATTGTATGCGCAATTCAAGGGATATTCTCATCGTCAGAAAGCGAGAGAGACACAGAGAAGGAAAAAAAAGAGGAAGAAAACGATATGTCTATCCAACAAAAACACAATGACGACGATGCTGCTTCTGTTTACTGCTTGCCAACCGACATGACCCGTTCTATCATTACTGGCGAACGAAAAAGAAAAGGAAGAAAAAAAGAAAAGAAATACAAATATGCGCGCGAGTGCGTCCATGAATGAGTTGTGCGCAAACAAGCACGGCCGAATAAAAAAAAATGTAGGTGAAAGAAGCCAATCCTTTGCATTGGCTAACATCCAAAATAAATAGTTGAATGAAACAAGCGCACATTAGAGGTTTCTTTTTTTCTTGCCGCTCTCATGCTCGTACTTGGCTGGTAACCAAAAAAAATAGCCGAATAGCATGCTGTTCTTTATTTTGCGACAGACATAAACGTAGGAGGGCAAAGCGGAGGAGGAAATATTATAGTGCCGAGTACGCACGACGTCATCAGAAGTAGACGAAGGAGAAGAATCCTATTCAAACAATTGGTTTAATTAAAACAAAAGAAAGATAACGAACGATGGATCAAGCAAATGTCTTTGCCATCATTAGACTAATTCGATGGTGATATAGACGAATGCGTAGGACATAATAAACAATCATTTCTAGTTGTGATAGAAGAAGCAAAGGATGTAAATATATAGCTATATGAATAAAGAGAGACAGACGACTGTAGTGAAGATGAAGAAGAGAAGGAGGAGGAGGACGATCTTGCCTTTTTCGTCTATTCCAAATAAATAATAACAAACAGAATGAAAAGGACACGTTGTTCAAATCGAAGTTCAAATCAGACAAACAAAGAACTGTCTGTCAACTAACTGATTAAATGCATATATATTTTATTCGTCTACGAAAGAGAAAAAAACGTTATTCTCAATTAGTTTAAAATGAAAAAAGAAATTCTTTACATACCTGGTGAAAATAAAAAAATATTTACTTGAAAACGTACATTAAACAGACGAAAGAGAAGGATAAAGGGAAACGACCCAAACCTGTCTTTATTTTCACGATATTCATACGGTAATATAGAAATAATTATATCAAACGGAAATTTTTTTTTCTTCTTTTGAATAGAACTAGTAAATTGTCAAGTAACATTATATTCAAAACAAAATTACTGATATTCAAAAGTTTACTAGATTATTCTTGTCTATTCATGCTAGAAAAGAAAAAGCCTACACGTACTAATTCTACCTGTATTTGCTTAAGAATATGTTTGTGATTTTTGAAATCATTGATATAGTGTAGGAAGAGAAAAATAAAACGGAAGTACCTATAACTGATACCTCTATTTTATTTTTTCATTAAAAATATCACGTCTATTTAGTTACTATAAAGTGTCGGTTAGTGGTGACGTTTGCATTCGTCTTGCCCTATTCGAGTAATTGAAAAGAAGAAAAAGAGCAGAATATTCTAGATGGTAAGTTTTTAAATGAAATTTTCGGGGAAAATCGTCACCATCGCAAATCTCGAAGCTCCGTACATGTAAAGTTCGAGCAAACATACATTCATACGCACATCTACGTTTTTTTGGTTCATGAGTAATCAATAGTGTATTGGCGTTCGTTTTGTTGCTTCCTTCGGTTGCCATTTTCTTCCATGTACTATTTCATGTTGTTGCGAAAGTTTTCATAAATTATATACGTCAATAATGACTCAGTACATACTCCTGCATGCATAGGAACTAAGAGATACGATTTTCTAGTTTCTGACATATTGAATACATACCGATTAAATAAAATTAAAAAAAATAAGACGGCAATTATTCAATTGTAACATTTTGAATTAATAGAATATTCGCCAGCAGGCGTCTTTTTTATTTCAGATAAATCATACAGATGCAAAATAGAAAAATACGCCATATGATACCAAATGACTATGTCCTTAAAATCTGTACGAAATGCTACATTTATATGCGTCTTAAAATGCTGTTATTATTGTCGGGTGATGTTAGAGTGACCTCGACATGAATGAATGTGCATCAGTATATTTACAAGATGCTTCTATGATAGATAGAAATAAAAAGAATCAAACTCGAGTAGTATGAGTGCAAACGTTTCAAAGGAATTGGCATACTTTCGTATGTAAGTGACTATTACTCATCGATTATATATATATATATATATAAATCGCTATATATGATGATTACTAACCTGAGTATTTTCTTCTACGTATATACATATTTAATAATGGCAAATAATAGAGTACGAGCTTATTTATTTAATTATTCGAAGGAAGAAGAAGAAAAATATATGTAAATGGTGTCAATACTAATATTCCTATAAGCAAATATATATATAAATCAATCTATGAGTAGGATGATGTCGTCACTTACAGTATCGAAAAATATATATTTGTCATGTTTTGTTTTTCTCTCTGGTACTATTCCCACGTTTCACACACGATTAACACATAGGTGGGATCAAGTATATAACTGAATGGGAATTACATAAACGCCCAGAATATCTCATGAAAATGTGAAATATAGAACATCTAAAAATAGCAACAAGTGTCTGCTCAGATAACTTTGAGGATAAACAATGTATATATGTTTATGTAAATAACATTGATTTAAAGATAATCGAATGTCTATCCGATTGCGTTACAAGCATATATAAAAAGAAAAATGTGCTAACATGAAATTTAATCTGGTCTTCTGAAGATAGATATGTGACTGACAGACAGCAGATGAGGAAAAAATAGAGCTCGGCGTCCGACATTGAAAACGAACATGTCACTGATCAATTTGTCTATGTTATTTGATCTTTATAGTATATATGTATATGTTATCTATGTCTGATTTTTAAGTTGAAAAAAGTAGACATAAAATTTATTTTGTTTCTCTAATACATCGTAATGCCATTTTTATACAAAGAAACAATAACAACAACAACACTGAAAGTGAATCTATGACAACAGTTATTATATAAGAAACTTTCATTGAGAAATTATTTATGCATGTATGAATTTAGTTTGTTCGACTGGAAAAAGTGCAAGTAGAGCCACAACGTTCTGACTGTTTTTTTTTCATTAGTAAATTAATTCACGGAGAATAGAGAAAGCATAACAACCTGTCATGAATGGATTCATTTATGATATTTAAATGCTAATTTCATATGAAGCATAAAAAAGAAGACTACCTTTTTTCTCCATTAGAAGATTAGATTGAGAAATTATGAATCAATTACAGTTATTTGATTTTTTATTTACAGAATAGACAAGAAATACAAGTAATTAATCATCTCCATCAAATCCACTTTCATCCATAAATGAAAGCAATTGTGTTTTAGTCTTTTTAGGTTCATTCACATGTTGATGATGATGACTTTCTTTTTCTGTAGTTGTTGATGCTGTTGTATGTTTTCGTTTATTTGTTTTATTTGATGCCATTTCAACAATATCAGATTTACTTGCTGTAGTTGTAGTGTCGCTTTCATCTGATTTTTCTTTCGGCTTCCGAAACAATAAACGCCCAGTCGAGTCAATGCAATTTTTTTCTTCCTCAGCTTAAAATAATAATAAAAAATTTCCATGAAAATTTTCAATACAAAAAGAAAACATTTAAATAATTTATTGAACTGATCTATATGTAAATAAGTTTGAAAAATATGGCATTTATTTACAACAGAAGTTTGCAATTTTATGTTAAATATAGTTGCTCACAGCCTTGACCTCAACTGGATACATTACTAAATTTCATGTACTTTTAAAATGAAAACAAATCTATCATTTTAATATTAATATTAATGCGTCTAAAGCGTAATTTGTTTTCAAATGCAATATAGAAAAAAAATGATACAATCATATCTATTTTTGGAACAGCTGTATTTGATGAGACTAAAAACAAGCGTCTCAATAATCATTCTGAATATTAAATTTAGAAAATATTTCACTGTATCATATAGATAGAAACAATTGTTTTGTCCGTCATAACAGAAAACACTATTTTATTTTGTAATAGGAGTGTTATGATGGAAAACTGAATCCTCGCTTTGATTAATAGCCTGTTTTTGCGACCTCGAGACAATTCAAGGTGAAAAACACAGATAGCTTTTCTTTCTGAACTTGAAAACTTGGAAATAAATAATTTACCTTCTTTTACTTTTGCTATTTCAATGTCAACTTCTTCTTTACTTAAATCGGTGACACCTAATTGAACTATTTGAGGTTTTTCATCATCTTTTCTATAATCTCCATCGCGTGGTCCTTCATCATTGTCACTGGTATCATTCATAAGTGTTCTACGCTAATATTCAAATATAATAAAAATCATCAGAATGAAGGATTCAAAATATTAAAAGAAAATTCTACTTTATCATCAGTTGTTGCTGGTGCTTTGTATCCAGTACGTTCTTTAAATTGTCTTATAAATGCAGGTTCTTCGCCTGAATTATACGAAAGTTTTCCTAGTTTAGTACTACCACCGCCACCACCTCTTCCACCGCCTCTTCCACCCCCTCTTCCGCCGCCTCCGCCGCCTCTTCCACCACCACCACCTCCTCTGCCACCACCTCCGGACCCACCAGAGGACCTATTTTGTCGTCCACCATGTCTCTGTTTAGTCATTATTTACAATCTACAAATAAAGAAAACAAAAGTATTTCTTCATTTTTCAAACGAAGAGATAACATAGAAACAATGTTGTTTTTTTGTTCATGTTCTTCAATTTTATTATTTGTTCTTTTTTTTATTATTTATTTTAGGACATTCATGTTTCTTTAAATATCAGTATTAGTTTATTTTAAAACATAGTAGGATTCCTTTCTGATAATACATTTCAATCATATTTATAACAAGGACAATATAAAATAATAGAATTGTCTTAATAATAAATATTGAAGTCGTAGATATTTTGATTGAATCGAAAAATTCAAGGATATCGTTCTTTCTTCTTCTTTGTACATAACAATATAATTAAAAATTGAAATACTAAAATTAATATGTCACTTGACCTAAAAAATCAATCGAATTTTTTCATATTTTACATTGAAATTATTTCATTAAACTAATCTTACTAGTTTTATATAACAAAGAAATAAAGGTAGTCATAAGAGTCATTCAATAGACGAGTTAAAGTAATTCACACTGAAACGTACGGATACGATGCTTGATAAGGGTAACGATGTAAATATGTTTTTCTATAGAATACAATGGTTCTAATAATAGCTTTTTGTTATTCAATCGTTTCTAGATTATTTTCAAGTCGTTAATAACACAATAGATTGATGACGATAAGATTCACTACACGTTATTTTTCACGTGTGATTGCTGAGTGTGTTAATTACGATTCTACAGTAAAAGCAAACCATGAGATTGCTCATATAAAACTTAGACAAGAATATAAAATGCGCAAAATGCAAACTTAAAGCAGAAACCTTTTTTCTTTTCGATTTAAATGTATGTTAAGATAAAGTGTGGCAAACTCATTAACAATATGTGCATTGTGAATTTTTTTTCAATCATGTTTTAAACTGAAAATTGAAGTGCTTTTAGATGACTTAATTTTATTTAAAAGCAGGTCAACAATTGTTAACTGATAAGGCTTTTTTAATTTTCTTATATGTGAATAACGTCAAACTGTTCGCATTTTTTGGATTAAACGTAAAAATAACATGATTCTAATTCGATCATCTTGTCAATCAGTTTTTTGGATTTTGTTTCGAACATAAACGCAAATACGACAATTGAAATTTAAATATTCTTCATCAATTTGTAACGCTCTATCTAATAATAAATGACAAGATAAAACTAAATTTTGTTTTTACATTTACCGGCATCTTAAAAAAAATTTTTTTCCTATTCTCTTGAAATTATTGAGATCGAATCGACTGAGAAATTCAGCAACTCTGATGGTATCTAAGATATTGAATAGCCATACTAAATTGATTCTCTGACAAACTCAAAGGATAATAAATTCTATTGATTACACGGAAGTGCACCATTCAAAGAAAAACAATTGCAAGAGTATACAAAAAACTTTCCTATTCAAAAGAAGTTTTGCGGAAACTGAGTCATTGAGTAACTACAAAAAAAAGAAAGAAACAATAGAGAAATACTTTCGTAAGATTTTGTTTTTCATTTGAATTCACATGCGCAAGAACAATTTCAACACTAATATTCTCTCATAATATGTGATAACTATTGAATAAAACTTTTCATCATTCGTAGACTCATTAGAAAGATTCGTAGAAACAAGCACGCTCTCAAGATAATTTCATAGTTATTCCAAGAAAATCGAGTTTTGTTATTTTTTACATGTCGATCAGACAAAAGTAATCCGAAGGTAATTTTTTCACTGAAGTCGTACTAAAAGGGTTACACGTCATTGTCTCGTATAAATTGATAATATTCATTTTGTTTTTCAAAAGAAAATATCATATTTCTAATTTTATGAAAAATGCTCTTTCCCGATTAAGAAAAAAAAAGAATCCATATCAATTACTTTTTCGTATCACATATCCTTGAATGTTGATCACGCATTGTATATAATCATCCATATTTTCGTCTAGGATAACAAGAAAATAAACATCGAATAAACATAATACAATTGAAAAAAATAAACCAACCTTCTTTTTTACCCGATGGCAAGCGACTCTTTAAACAAAAAAGAAAGATTAAGTTCGAATATCACTTGTTTATATTTGCAATACGAATAGAAGTTTCTGCTACATATGTTGAGTGAGATTTCTTTCCACGAAAAAAAATCAATGAAAGTTTTACAGTTGTTTTTTTCCAATATACATGATCCATAGACAAACAAAAACATACAGACATTAAAAAAAACTGTTTGTACATGCAATGGAGATGACTACATATGGTGTTTTTTCTTATCTAATATGAAACTCATCGGTGAACAAAAACGATGAAATTCTGGAAGAAAAATAAAAATGGATAATTTATTTGCATTTTTTTTATCGTCTCATAGGTCGTTTAGATGGAATTGGTCCATCGTCATCATCATATCTTGAACCGGAACGTTTTAGAATTGGACGATCTCGATGAGATGAACGATTGCCATGATCTCGAGGATTTCGAAATGAACTTTCTTGAGGATCCATCAATGATGAATAATTCGTACGTGACGAGGACGATGATGTAGTTCCATAATCTCTTGGCTGGGACATTGGACGATAGTTAAAATCTTGTACATATTGTTCACGTGGAATGTACGATGATGATGAAGATGGTGATGACATCGAAACATTTGATGAACTTCTATACAAGTCATTGCGATAACTAGACGATGATACAGGCACCATTGGATAATCACGTGATGATGTATTATTTCGATTTGCTACAAAGTAAAGGATTCATTTTTTTTTCTTTTTGATTGTTGACAAAGTTTTAAGAAAATATGTATGTACAACTTTCGAATATTTTTCTGAGATCTACATATTAGAGAGGTGATATTTTGCTGGTTTCTCTTTCAAATTATGATTAGTTTTATATTTTGAATAATTATTTTGTTGTTACGATTGAATACAATTGAATTGAAATACGGCCATGATAGATTTTCTCTGATCCATGTACATAGAATATCAATCATTATGAATAAAGATATGAGTACGCATGTCTGAGGAATTAATCATTATGATAATGAATGATTTATATCTGCTTGTTGAATATGATCAAACGGAGGGAAAAGAAACAGGATATTGTTTTGTTATGTTTAGTTAAATTAACCGAAACCTTAATGAATTGTATACAAATGAAATAGGAACAAACGATCATTTTTCAATGAGCGATAAAAGGAGAAAGGAACATGATGATCGTGTTAACAGCAGTGGATTAATTGAAAAACAATTGGCCTACATTATTACTTACATGGTATATCGTACCGGTCAGAACGTGGAGGATAATCATTTGCTCGATACATTTCACCATATGGATCGTCACGCATGGATAGAGGAGCTAAAGATGGAGGCGTGGCAGATCTGCATTCATTACTCATGTATATATCATTATTGATATTTCGAGATCCATAATCCATTGATCGTTCATTTCGATAGGATGCTACAGGTGGTGGAGGACTATTTCGTCTGAAAATATTTTGTAAATGATGAAAATATTTAATTAGAATCTAGAAAAACAAAACTTACCGATAATTTGTTGGTATATATCGACTACGGTCTGAATCAATATGTTGCGATGACAACGGTACTGATGATGATCCACGATCACGTAGACGTGGCGACATTGACTGAGAAGAAGCATAGTATAGAGATGTTGGAGGTAATGAAACATTGGAAAGAACCAGGTGTTCATTTGCGGATGATCGATATGTATCACAATGATTTGATGGTCGATCAAATCTTGATGGAGGTGAATGGTTATCATAATAATTTGTTTGAACATTGTTTGCTCGATTAGATGATGAAGAAGAGGAAGAAAAATGCGATGGGGCTTGAAAATCATCATCTTGCTGATAACGATTATGTTTCGGTAGACCATTTCGTGATGAAATAGGCCGAGAATTAACTGAACTACGTGACGTACGATAATTAAAATTTTCATTTTCTGAGCCTCGTGATGAAAAATTACCATTATGATCATTTTCACTACCACGCGAAAATCGTCCACTGAAAGAAAAAAAATTTCTTTTAATTGTATAGATTGAAAAAATATAATGTTTTTTTTACCGAGAATTTCTGCTTGTCGATCGTTCAGTATAATTATTCCGATTCGTAGAAAAGTTATTATGTCGATCACGATATCGACCACGATAACCGTCACGTGAACTCTCCATATCTATATCTATATATATATATATATATATATATATGACTAGTATAAATAACAAACCGATCACGAAATACGACAAATAATCAGTATACGAGTGTATATATTCTAATGAATGTCTGGAACAAATGTATATGAGAAACAAGACCTTTCACTCTTCTCTTTCTATTATATTGAACGGGAGCGGAAAAGAAAACACATGGACAAAAGTATCGAACAAAATACAGATACAATGATCATTGTTTTTTTTCCTCTTTATGTTGATTTTATACGAAACAGACAAATGGATCATATCAGTGCAGAGAGAGAAAGCATTGATCTCATCGAACGTATTCAGGCTATCCTCTTAGGAACTACATAGTAAATGTTTTATTCTATGATTCATTTATATTGACCAACGGCAAAAATACTTTCGAATCAAAATATACAGTTAAGATCAATTCACAATAGAACCATTTTGTTAAATATTTTTGATACATTATTAAACGATAGGATCTGCTATCGATTGTATTATCGAATTTAGAAAATTGCATTTAAGATTTTGTATTTTATAAGGTTCTCTATTCACTAATTAACATTAATAGAAAAAAGGTTAGAACTCTGATATTGCGTACTTAGTGAGGGAATTCATCGAATCAACCATGAAATGACTTATTAGCTAATGTTATTCAAGAATATAATGAGGTTCTACTTTGAATCTCATGAACAATTTATAATATATACTCGAAATATGGTTAAGTGATATTCCAACAAACAATATTTTGTAAATAATTGATTATGTAAACCATAATTCTCTATAGACCTTTATGTAGTAGATCTAGATTCTTATTTCATTAGAAATAACATGTCAAACTGTAGCGCCCGTTTTCTTTTTAATCAATTTACACTTTTTGTCCTAATGAAAAGACTAAGGAGTACACACTACAATGAACAATAATCAAAACGTTCTTCTCTCTGTTCTTCTGTTATAATAGCCAAGAGGCATAATTACAAAAAAATCAGACATTATGGTTCAACATATTTTCCACATCCACACCCAAAAAAAGTCATTCGATATAATGAAGGGCGATCGGGAATACCGACGCTTGTGTTCAGAAAAATCATTTCGGACTATTCTTCTGATCAGAAAACCAGGTATCGGGAGGCTTGAAAAGGCAATGCAATAGGTGTTTTATTTGTATATAATTTCGATTCGAAAGCATTTTATTCATTTCCTTTTTATAATAATATGAACATAGACAGATGAGTTAATTCTATAAAAAGCAACCACTAACATATTTCCTTCTATATGTGCGGGTCGATGAATTCAGTCCCGGAAATTATAAAACTAAAGAATCAAATACTTGTCTCTGTCAATCTTCACAGGAAAAAGTTAGACATCTTTGATTGCTGTTTTTAAGATTCAAATGAGAGAGAGAGAAAAAAAATAAAACAAAATAAAACAAAACAAAACAGATGAGTGTGTTTTCTACACACGCCTTGCTCGAAGTTTTTTTTTAATGCTAATATATTTTTTTCTCAGTAAAAGGACAAGAAATACACGATAGATTAGATAGTGAACCAAAGAAAAAAAGGACAAAAAAAAAAGAAAATGACATTCTGTTTTAATTAGTTGTTCGCATTTCAAAGTGAAAATAGAATGAACAAAAGACGTACACACACGCGCACACACACACACACACATGTTGATGTTTTTATGTACACCAAAAAAAAACGAGGAAAAAAAGAATAAATTTGCATGTAAAGAAATTTGTGTTTTTTATAAAAACAGAATTCGTGTGACAAAATTACAGATGATGGTTTTTGTTTTATATCTGGTACACCAAGGAGACAGAAAAGAAATGATAAAGATGACAACACAAAACTAGAGACTCTGCATGCTAAAAAGAAGAAGAGACATCAAGATTTTTATTATTTAAGCATAAATTTTCGCTATTGAATCTGCTCCAACACTAGCCATATAGGGTTTGGATAAATGAAATGCAACGTCATGTATAGACTCGTCATCCTTCTTTTGATGAGCTGTGAATTCTTGTATACAATTTTTCGTTTCGAAATTCCATAAACGTATTGAACGGTCATGACCTTAAAAAAAAAGAACAAATTGTCTTTTGTGTATCAAATAGATAATCGTTTTTTTTCTTTCTTACTGCCAGATAGCAGACATGTCTGTTGTGGATCGATTGCTAATGCAGTAACAGTTTCTAGATGAGCTACCATTGAATGTATCATTCGTCCTGTAAAGAAGAAAACCCCATCATTTAGACAATGTCAAAAAACTAAATAAATTATAGGTTCTTGATTACCAGAATTACTATCGAAATATCGTATCTTTTTATCATCGTGTGCAGTTATGATAATTGGTTGCGATGGATGGCTTATTACTCTATTTACTCGATAATTTGCATCTGCTGTTGAATTATCGTTAGCTAATTGCGTTACAACTTTTCCAGTTTCTGCGTCGAAAATCATTGTTTTCAATGAATCATACGTGGCAACAAATTGATTTGTATCTTGCATTATCCAATCGATAGACAATGGAATGCCATCGTCTATTAAAATTATTTTTAGAAAACCATTGCTTCATTGATGAAAATGACTCACTAGTAAATGTTGATTGTAATGATTGACTCAAATTTGAATCCCATAATCGTACAGATCCATCCGATGAACATGATAATAATTTTTGACCGGATATTGCTAATTGCCAAACAGCATCTGTATGACCCTCCAAGACTTTGCATAGAACATTTGAATCTTAAAAACGAAAAACAAAATTAATTATTCATATAGAAACTTTTTTAAATTATGAATTCACCATAGGCATCATAAGGATCAACATCTGAATTCGGAATATTCCATACAGATATAATTGAATCAAGACCACCACTATAAAACTGTTCTCCGGACGGATTCATTGCCACGCACAAGACAGGACCTCTATATCAATTTAAATTAATTCGATTAGCTCACGTCATTTTTCATTTATTAAGCTTACGTATGCCGCCGGAAAGTATAGATGGGTTCGAGATCTTGTGTTGTCGATGCTGATCTAAATTAGAAAGAATAGATTTGACATTTCAGGGAAATTTTCTTCTTACTTTCTTAGAACAGCAGCTTTTTCAAGATTCCATAATTTAAGTGTACGATCTTCAGATCCAGTTATAACAACTGATTCAACTGGATGAAATGTAACGCAATGTATACCATCCAAATGGCTAAATAAAATATTTTTAATTTGGTTTCAAATTATAGAAAAAAAATCAAAATACCTTCGTAAGACGTATTTAACATTCCATGTCTTTCGAAAATCAGATGAATCTGTTGCTGTTGTCTAATAGAGGAAAAGAAATGATTGAATGAATTGTCAGCAAAAGAAAAGATCAAGTCATACATCATCTTGTGGTTCATTATCATTCAAAACTGTAACACGTGCTAATTCATCAAGACCATCCATAGCATTATCGCCCATGAAATTTTTACTATTTCGAAACATGATTGTGTCAACCATGCCACGATTAACTATTAAACCGAAAAATATGAAAGTTCATCTCATGTTTTTTTTTCTTCTAATAAGTAATGAACAAACTTTGTTCATCTGTTGAAAATGCTCGCGGATCAGAAGATGTATCGTCATTTCCATTATCGAATAAATTATTTCGAATCGATGATGAATTACTTGTATGATGTTGATGTTGTTTACCGTAACGTTCACGTTTATATTCTTCTTTCAATCGATTTAATCGAGATTGATCAACATCCCAATCAGCACTATTATTTTCTAATGAAAACAATAAAAATATATTAGATGCGTAAAATTATATTATTATTTATTTACCATTGGGTTTCATTTGATTTACATTTGAAGAAGCAGCTGATTCGCCAGAAAGAAAATCGAATTCATGTAGAGCTACTTCTTCACCGTCGAGATCATTAAGTGTGTCAAGACCTGAATTATGATTCGTTGTATTACCATTATTCGATTTAATCATGATGCGGCTAGAATCAATATCATCATCACTAGGAAAAACAAAACAAATATTTTTCTTTCGTATTTCATGATTGAATAAATTTACCTTGAATCTTCATCAGGCTGATCTTCTTTGAGAAAGACAAGTGATGCGAGAACTGATTTACTTAAATCGCTTGTGGCATTTTTAACAATATTTGGAATGATTCTTTTAGTAAAGGAGAATATTTTGTAAATTAATAAATTCGCCTAGATTTTTCTTTTTACCTTTTTGATTCGTTTGACGGTTTAATGTCACCATTTAAACTGATATTATTATTATTATTATTATTATTGTTATTATTACTTGCATTGAAATTCGTTTCACTTTTAATTCCAAGTAGTTTCTTAACAGCTGTCGAACGTATATCAATTATTGTATCAACATAACCAATTTCTTTCAAATATCTAATAAGAGGAAAAAAGAGAAAGCCATTTTGTTTTGGAATTGAATTTACTAAATAACATACTGCCTAAGTAATTGACGGCCTTGTTTAAATGATACGCTATTATCACCATAACCTAAATTTGCACCATCTTTATTTTCATCTAAAACAAAATCAATTAAATTCAACAAAATTTCTAAAACAAAAAATTTTACCATCATCATAATGTGGTGCATCATTCGATGTTGATTTATGATCTTCTACTGGAGCGTTTTCACTTCCATATTTTAGTTTATTGAATTTTAATCTAAATAATTAAAATTACATGAGACAATGTGTATGTTTTTTGTCTCATGAGGCGAATATATATCCTTTGAGAATTATCAAACAGAAAAAGAGTCGTCATTATTCTTAATTATTTTTCTTTTAGAATTTTTTACCTTTCTTGTTTTAATGCATATTCAAGCATTTTAATGCGTCTAACAAGTGCATTCTTTAGATTTTCTTGTCCTTGTCGTTCACCTTGTAGAAAAGCAATACGTGCCTATAAAAAAAGCAAAATGAAAAATATGCGTTTCCAAGTGTAGATTTTATTTTACTTGAAATTCAGCTCGTTCCGTTTCCCACTGTTGTCGTTCTATTTCAAATCTAGTCCATTCGTGTTGAAGAAAATGAAGGATACCAGGCACTGTATATAATGGACGTTGGGCATCGACATTGGCCATTGCCGATGCTGCTGCTTGAGAATCTGTCTGATAGGATATTTGCGTTTCACTACCGTCCATTCGATTTCATATCGATGTAGGAAAAAAAACGAAAAAAGGAAAAAAATAAATCTGAAATAATAAAAATGATAAACAATATTTAGCTTTACAACAATTTATTTAACATTGAAAACTTCGATAGGTTTGAATTTCATCAACAATTTTCTGACATTCATCATCATCTAGTTTACTATCTAAAGATGGAATTAATGTTTTAGCTTCCACGGCTTGTTGTGGACAAAGATTAGCAAGTAATGCAGCTTCAAATTTATGTAAACCCGACGATGGATTTGTTGATCCCATGCCATTAGGTTGATCTTTTGGAAAAAGTAAATTTCGAACAGCACCGATGGCTTCTTTTGTTTTAAATTTACTGAATCGTTCACAATAAGCAACTGTATCATTAAATGCTTCTGATGATGTTATTTCATCATCGTCATCATCAAGACCATTCGCATTGGAATTTTGCTGTCGACGTTGCTCAAGCATAAGTAATACTTCTGATATCATCATTGGTTCAGCTTTATCGAATTCTTTTGGAAATTTAAGTTGTGCAGCATCTTCATCATCCTAGTTAATTAAAAGAATGACATGAAACATAGGATCTTTCTTTTTAATGAGCTGATAGACATACTTGATTTGCAAGTGCCATTGTTACCTAGTAGGTTGAAATTGAAAGTGAGACTTAAATAGGCAACAATAAACAAAATAAACAATAAATGTGTAACAAGAGAAAGGAAAGGGAAACCAATTCTTGCTTACAGCATATTGGTATTATTTGGATAGACAATGACTGACAAGCAATCAAAATGTAAATACAAAGATTTTAAATTTAATTGAAGTGTTTCAAAGAGAAAAATATTTATTTCTAGAAAAAATAAGTTTATTTTCTTTCAAATACATGTCGTGCGACATCTTTTTATTAAGAATAGTACACTACAAAATTGGTGTTGAGCGACATCTTGAGCTTGTCAGAATAGAATAGTAGGATGTGATCTGTGTAATTATGTATGATCGATATAGAACATTTTGCGTACGAAACTGAACGACATTAGGGTATGATTAAATCAGGATATATTTCGAGTTCTTCTCGGTAAACTTCTATATATATATATATATATATACATAACACAAGGACATGGTTAATGGGGAGAAATTTCTAAGTTGTTTACTTACTTATACCCGAAAAAATAACATTTTAACCCCTCTGAATCCGAACGACCTGAGAGCATTTTTTCCTTCAATATATCAATTGAATTTTAGTGTGTCGTTTCCTCAATCTTTTACTTCGATTTATTCTATTAAAAATGCAAAATCTAGACCTATCATTATTTGCTTGGCACTTCAACGCATACAAGAAAAAAAAACAAGAACATAATCTTATTATTATTATTATGATAATCATTATTTTTGTTTTCATGTGATATTACCCACCAATTTTACTTGTTTGTTCAAAGAAGTAATTGAAGTCAAACATTGTTAACACATCGTTGTTCATAATCTATTTGATGAATAGAGAATGTATTTTTGAAAGAAAAATATATTTCTATAGTTTTTCTTTAATTGAAAACCAATATAAATAATTAATTTGATAGATACCAGATTAGAATATATCGATGGAAAATGGCGCAGCTAAACGATTGAACTACATTAACGTACATAGTAGTACCAGAAAAATGATTCGAGTGCGTTAATCTCGTGTTGAAGTTATTCTAAACTACATTCAAGTAGCGACGTAAATCGTATCAGGTTTTGATAGACTGAGCCTTGAAACACAACATTCATAATGGCGATTCCATTATTGCTGCGTAACAGATGAAAAAGAATATTCTAGTCATAATGTATAGGTTACAATTTCACAATTGTATTAGTAATATTATATGTAGCACAAAATGGCGTAGAATAGTTCGAAATGACCTCAATTAATAAAAAAACAACATGTCGCTACTCCTTAGTGATTTACACTGCATTTGTTTAGATGTTATTATAAACAGTCGTTCAATGATTCTCGTTAGGATAGAATAGAGAACAGATATTTAATTTATTGTGGTGTTTGGCACTTAAGCAGTGAACGTTTTTTCTTATCAGTATTAATAACACAATGATATTATTATAGATAGATTTTTATTCGATGCATTTTTTTTCATTAAAATTCTAGCAATGTGAAGCTCTATGCTAAAAAAACAGATGATAGATAAAAATCGATAAATTCCTTTGTTTCTTTTCTCTGTCACTGTTTAATCAAAATAGAACCATTCAATTATCAAACATGTTGCTTAAATTGATATGGTCTATGTAACTCATTATTCTAAATTGATAATTAAAGATATGTTTTTCTTTTTATTAGAAAATCCTATAGTTAATAATACTTTAGATGGCAATCTTTGTTCAGCTCACATTCTTTAAACAGTTTAATTATTTTTGTTGAAAATATATTCACTTTATTCTGTTTCTGACGCGCATGCGCTCTCTTTTGCAGAGTTAAAGAAACGAACGAAAGCAAGGAAAGAAGAAAAAAAAACGAAAGGAAATACAACTGAAGTAGTAGTGGTGATAAACACATAATAACGAGAAAGAAGAGAGCCACAGGTGAGATAGGTCAACAACATGGTCATGATCGTCAAAATACTCTTCATGTAATTGGCCTATTTATGAATCTTACAAACAAGAACGAACATAGATTTACACAAGAGAAACATCGAAGCATACACACACGTACAGAAACAGAGAAGAAAAGAAACACGAGTTTTATGAGAAGAGAAATAAAGGAAAACTTGACTCTGTGCATATTCTTGATTTTGGCTGATATAGTTTTTTTTTCAAAGTTACAAGTCAAAGAAGAAGAAGAAGAAGAAAATAAAAGTAGAAAAATGAACATACATATTTTTACAGCACAGAAATAAATAATAATAAGACATGATCTGTTGTTTTATATGATGCGTTTGCTTTCTAAAAACTTTCTACTCTGCACATATAGATACGAGAATAGTTAGACTTTGTCCGGCTATCAAAATGTCTTCTGCCAAGCAGCTAATAATATACGGGGAAAGTATTTGTACTAACCAGATCAGAATTCTAGATCATCAACCGGCCTGATTTACTCTCGAAAAGGAAACAAAAAGAAGGCACACGCACACACTGTTAAAACAGAACATCGAGCGAAAATGTTGCAAGATCTATTTTATGATCGAGGATGATGATGATGCATAGTTTTATTTTGTTGTATTGGTGTTGTTGGCGCTGGTGAAATTCGTTGATTTGATCCACTATTAACAATGGATGGAGAATTTGGTCGTCGTGGTATTGGAGTCATTTTTGATGAAATATTACTAGCTACATTTTTTATAACAACATTAGGAGATATATTTTCCATTGGTTCATCTTCTTCAAGATCATCACTATTTGAACCAACATCATCATTTTCCTACGAATAGAAAAGTTTATTTTATATGCTTATGAATTTAAAAATTATAATAAATTATAATTACCATTTCTGGATACAATTCAACGGCTTTATCAAGTAGCGATCGAGCACTTTGAGTTCTTTCAATAAAATAACTACGAAAATTAAGAAATTTCGATTGATATGATTAGATCTAAATTTTTAAGTTTTTACCCCTGTGACATATCATTGCTAGTAACGGGTCCTTGCGATGGATAATATGGATAATTTGACGGTACATTATTATATGATCGCTAAATGAAAGTAAAGAAAGACTTAGATAAAATAAAAACAAAAAAGCTCTTCATTACTTCTAATTGTTCATGTAACCAACGAACAGCTTGTGACCAACGTTGTTTTATATCAGCATCTGTTTTTAATATATGATGAGCTTTTGGACAACTAGAATAATCATAAAACTTAAATTATTTTTTTCTTTCAAAAAGCTTAATAATTTTACTTTGAGAATAATTGTACAAATGTTTTGATGCAATGATATGCTTTTTTCTGATAAGTTGATTTTGCTTTTGCGAACATATCGAATAAACTTTGAGGGGTGGATTCATATCCACTATTAGTAGTAGCTGTTGTTGTTGTTGTTGTTGTTGTTGCTGATGTCAATGAATTATTAACATTGGACATGGGAATTCCTTTAATTACATATAATAATCGAATTTCTTGCCAAGAATCTTCAATGGTAAGTATCATATAGAGTACATCAAGATGTCCACGAAAATCATATGTATGATACATAGCAAGCTAAAACAAAAAAGTGTATATAAAAAAGAGAAAAAGCAAATTTTCTGTTTTACCAAAGTCATAATTTCATTGAGAACAATGGACGTTATGTCAGGATTTTCCCAAACAAGAAAACGAAGTAGACGAAGCGATTCTTCGCATGAACCTGAATCTTCAATGATTTTCTTTATAAATACATCTCGTTTAAAGATTATATCAGCCATGTGTTCGGGCATGGAACATATTGGACTATTTTCATGTGTATAATATGGATTCGGTAAGAGATCCGTCTCGGGCTAAAATGATCAAAACAAAGTAGTAAAATACTTTTCTTTTTCTTTTTAATTTGATAATAATTTACTTGACGTGGTTTGCAATAGATGGAAATATCAAAGCAACGAATCAATGTAGAAAGTATAACAAATAATTTAGCGGGTTCTCCATATCGTGGTAATGTTGAACATGATGATGATGTATTATCATCATTCGCCAAATTAACAAATAGTGTTGGAACGTTCAGACGTATTAATTGTTCACACTGAAACACAAAATTCAATTACAATCAGTTTTACTTAACGACACCAAAAGGTAGGAACATCATCAAATTCTTGTTTTTTCCTATTTTTCAACAACAAGAGAAAGTCTATGCATGAATTAGAACTAAGCCAATGAGGAGAGCTATTCAGAAAGTTTCTGTCAGCTTTTCCTTTCTGTTTTTGTTCTAAACTTACCTCATGACGACCTAGTGATGAATAATTAACGAAGAATTGAAAATATTGCGTAAGCATTTTAACATTATCTGGCATTTCTTTTTTAAGCAAACGTAAAACATGATTAAGAATAGATTCTTCAACTGTTAAATAATTCTTAATATCCTCTAAATAAATACAAAATCGGTGTTAGGCAAACGAACTATGAATAATGAGAATAATTTACCTGTTGGGATATTCGTTATTTCTTCGTCTTGACGAGAATGATTGGCAAGAGCAACCAGCATTTTACCAAATGCATTTCGAATCTAATTACATCAAAATAGAAGATAAATATAAAAGCAACTATGAAAGAGTAGTTTACTTCAGCTGATGTACAATCAATAAGATATTCTTGAAAACGAGTTGGATATTTAAATAAAACTTCTTCAGCTAAATAATATCGAGCTTTACGTGACCATCGAATACAATGTACGATTAATTCTGTCCAATCAATTGCCGGGCCACTATAAAAAAACCAAACAAGACATTCTACTATGAACAACAAAAGGCGCAAATTTATCAATTGAAACAAACCGTAACGCTTTCTTTGTTCGCCATCCAACAGAAAAAAGAAATTTCGTAGCTATTTGTACACTGACTAAAGCTAATTCTTCAATCGTTTCAATCGTCTAGTCAAAGAAAACAAAAACATGAAACTAAATTTTAAACCAAAAAAATAGAAGAGATCTTCATACATTCGTGACCGGTGTTTTATCTCCA